ACCTCTGATTCCTGACCTCCCTATCGCCTGTGCACACTGCTGTCCATACAGTGAGTGAATTTTGCTCCTGCGTGTCATGGGGCTTGTCTGTCTTCTGTAAGGACTTGAGAAAGGGGGGACACACTTAGCTCAGGCAATTTGTGGTGTCCACACCCCTCTTGCAGCTGCATCTCACAGTCATCTCTGTCTCTCTGGTCCGATTGCTCCAGCTGCCCTGCTCGTGGCTGCACACAGTCGACCTGGAGGGCGTGCCAGCTAGTTCCTGCAATGGCTAAATCTGCACCGCGGTGGGGGTTCAGGCAGAGTTCACTAATGAGCTCTTCCGGATATCTCCATCCAAAAAGCCCCTCACTCAGCAGACGACAAAATGCAACAGGCTCATATTACTAATTCTTCCTGCCTTTTTATTAAAACCCCCATATAACATCAATTTCTTAAAAATAATTAATCCTGCCAATAATAGGCAAATAATACATAAAAGCTAGAAATATAATAACCTAAATAAAAAATAGAAATACTAAAAATGAAATCCACCCTTATTTTGAACAATACATTTGAAATCAGAGATCAGCTATTTTTGTAGAACTGTTAGTTCTTGTAAACTATTTTTAATAATGTATAAAACTGTTAGTTTTTGTATATTACTCTAAAGTATGTATTTTTGTAAAGGGATTGCTGGGCAGTCAAATACAAGCACTTGACGTTACATTAATCAATGTGACTATTGATTGATAATCAGCGCTGCTGGTTAAAATATTAACATTTTAGCTGAGGTGATAAACAATGCCAAAACCGGGTGTGTTTAGTTACTAGACAGCACTCCTCCATGTCTCGGCTGCATGCAGATGAGGTGCCAGCCATCAAAACCACACAGAAAATATAGGAGACAGGACTAAACAGAAATAAATACTCTGAAGTTATGTTCGACCACTGCAGAACACTTTACTCCCAAGGTTAAGAATATCAGGTGTCTTTCCAGTGATCTGGAGCACTGCACCTGATCTCAAGTAAAAATTGCAGTTGTTACTTTTTAAAAATAAATAGAAAGTGATAAAATTGTTACAGAAGTACTATCTTGTAAATACTTTCTGCAGAACAATTCCAGAACCACATTTTGAAATGAACAATTACAGATTTGAACAGGACAATTTGAGGAAGTCATCACAAAGTTTTAAGGTTCCTGTGTTCAGGATTGTATAGCCTTTCTTATGCTCATATATGTCCGTTTAAGGGGTGAAAGCTCAAAACTGGAGTAACAACTAAGTTTACCACAAGCATTTTCATTAAGACCACTAGTGTATTTAATTCATATCAATGATGTATACACCAAAACAGATGTATCTGAAAAAATGGCAAGGGCATTTAATTAATGTTTAGTGACAGCAGAAGTCTAGCCAAATACATGCCATGCAGGTTGCAAAAACTAGCTGTATAAGATATGAACAAAAATACTTAATATGGAGAAGTTACCTGTGGTGGATCTAAGGTGATGTATAGTTAAATGTGTACAATTTAAATTTAAGGGATGTTTTGTTAAAAAAGTACAATCTATTGTTGCTACTTTATCAATAAGTTTCCTCACTTAAAGGTTTGAGGAAATTCCTACACTTTCAGATTCACATAACTGAATCATTTTAGTATTGAAGAGAAAAAACGCGATTCAAATATTCCAAAACATCAAAGGCACTGACAGATTTAACCCTTTCAGAACCTACAGTGAAACTTCAGCCTGAAGGCCAGAAGTTGAAACTATGGGGAAGTGCTTTTAAACTCAGAACAGAAGTTGTTTTTTTCTACCCAGAGGGCGGTGGGAGTACGGAACGAGCTACTCAGCCGTGTTGTTGAAGCCGATACACCGGCTTCTTTCAAGAAATGACTGATGAGAGCCTCAGATCAATTAGCAACTAGCAACCAAATTGCCTACAAAACCACTTGTCAGTCACGTGACAAAAATATTGAGTCAAAACCAAATACATTTATTTTTTCTTACTGTCCAATCATTTAAGTTATTTAGGCAAATGAGAATATTTATCATGGTGAATATTTTCAACACTGTGGGTCTCACAGAAAACATACAATTCTATTACGCATGAGACAGTGGGAAGACATGGTTTCTAATCTTAATCATATTCATTAAGGCTAAAGCAAGTCCACATTCATAAAATGTGTCTCCAATCCATCTCCAGTTCCAGAGCAAAAGATATGAAGGTAATTAAAAAATAAGTCCTTTTCAGGCTTTTTTGAACACAAACATTCTGAAATAACATCCACCAAGTGTTCTTGCTACTTGATGAAGTGTCCTGCCGAGCTCATGAGGTTTATTCTGTGACCTCAGGAGTCATGTGCAGAATAAGCAGGTCGTCTTGTCTTTTCACGACCATGTTAATGCTGTCAGAGGTGCGCACTGCGTTGTAGATTTCTTCTGCTGTCTTCACCTGCTTGCCGTTGATCTCCAGCACTACATCGCCTGGTTTCACACCAGCCCTGGGAGACAGCGACAGGAAGAGGGATAAACTCATGATGATCTATATGACGGATTACAGCAGAAATGGATCGGGAAGAACATCTAAAACCCAATATCGGTATGGTTGCGAGATATGATGGCTGGGAGACTTCTCCACTTTCCAAAACATCCAGCTGGCAGCGAGCAGGGACACATGGCCGGAGTCGCCTATCCTGTCTCACAGACTCACCTGTATGCCGGCGAACCCATGATGACCCTGTGAATCAAGACCCCATGGGTCACGTCTGGGAAAGTGGGGTCGCGGAGCTTCAGTTCGGCGATGATGCTGGGAAAGAGACAGCAGAAGGCAGTGCGGACCTCTTTATTTTCTAGCACATCACCCCTAACTACTCCCCCTGTCAGCAAAGGAAACACCACACCAGGCGGCTTGTGAACCCGGTAACACTGGGCGATTCTGCTCATGACAGCATTTGGCGTGTCACAGGACGATTGAGCTATTTTCGATCTCACTCCCCCAAAACAATTACAGGGCAGTACTTCTGGCCTTGTGGGAAGGGGTGGCGATTGTAGGCTTTTTCTGCTTAGCCTGTTACTTGCATTGCCAGTCGGTGACACTAACATTTGACCTACAACCAGGACTGACTGCATGAGAAGGCTCCCAGCGGAGTTAGCAAAGCCCTGTGCACTCGAGCTTGCTCAGTACTGTCTCCCCCCATCACAGTGGCTGAGTCTGCTGCGGCAGGACACTCGTGACAGCCCAGCAGAAACGAGAAGGAATGACCAGTTAAAATGCTTCTGAAAATAAGAACAGCAAGTTTCGCTCAAGTGACTGGCACCAGTCAAAATGAAATCCAGCTTTCCTTATCTTCAGGCTCGTCTGAGGATTTTTAAAAATGAAGGGTTATTATGTGCCTTTAAAATTGTTTAAGGGTACCGTACAGCACTCGCAAAAGCTCTCAAAAAGGGAACAGACACTGCACAACTGTTTGGTGGAAATTTAACTGAAGTTAACTAAGAAGAAAGAGTTTTTTTTAAGCCAGCACTTACACTGTCAAACAATGGGTAATGGAAAAACCTTAATCAATTCCTACATGCGAGATATATTTATTGGGTATCAAAGAAGGGGAAATCTAACAGATGAAAACGACACTCAAAATGAAAACCACTTTCGTCGTCCCACTTTCATTCTGACAAGACTGAGGCAATATTTAGATTTTTTTCTTACCTAATATCGCATACGTAATCGGAAAAAAAGGAGGAAAAAGGTACAACAAGAAATATAGCGCCATAATTTCACAACATAAAGCAAGGAACAAATACCTGTGATCGCTTTGTCAGATTATGGGAATCTGGATTGACAGCTCAGAAGCTGCTCTCAGGTGCAACCATTAGTGTCGCATACAGAGAGATGGGTCTAATACTGTATCATCATGATCAGTACTGAAATTTGTGGGAAAGAGCTAAATAAAATGTAAAAAATGCACAGAAACATACCTGCAAGTTTGTACATTCTTCACTGATACACTGATAAAGACAGTAATTGACGATATCTGCCAGGTTCTATATTTAGTACTAATGTATTGCACAATTACTCTGATTTTTATTAATGACTTGTAATTCAATTTGTGTGCTTAAAGTATGCCATTTAGTTTCTATTTTAAATAATTTCATTAGATGTTTAAAACACACATTATTTGCAATACAGGCTATGGCAATATTTTGTTTGCTATATTTAAGGCTGTGTTCTTCGTATACATATGTACCATTTTAAAAACAGTTTGGCATCATAAGTACAAAAGTGGAAAATACCAATTTGATTTAGTAAAATATATAACAATATCTCTATGTGGAAAAACAAAGATAGATCTATGAGAGGTATGAGCATGGTATTAATAACTGAGAGTAAGGATTTGCCTTTATAAATAGAAAAAAATGATTGTGTTGGCAATCGACGTTAAAATGTTGCAGAAAATATTATCACTTTTACATGGAAGTGTTTTTTTTTTTTTAAAGATCTTCTACCTGGGAGTTAATGTCAGCATCATCACACCCACATAGCGACGCTTTGCTTCTGATTCACCAAACCAAGATTCTGGAGGAAAACCACAATAAAATAAAATTAAAATCCTTAACATGTCACAGAAGCACCCAGCGCAGAACAGAAGAGATGAAATAGAAGTATGTAACAGTTTACAGTCACAACATTCCTGTCAGATCCAGTTAAGGACTTCTCTCTAACACAGACCAGTAACAATACCGCTGCAGAATAAAAGCAGGGAACACACCACTCAGGACAAACACCAGCGTACACAGTTTTTGGCTGGATGTTTCCGAGTTGGACTCCTGCAGTCCGATGACATGTTTTCCCAAGTTAACTGGGAATGTTGTCCCCATATGCTTGACCGAGTATGTGCACTGTAAGCTTGTGCCCTGTAATGGACTGGCAGCCAAACCTGGTGCCTGTGCCTGCCAGGCTAATCTCTGGTTTTAAGGACCGTAATTACTAAAAACAGGTAGATGGATGTTCTCAGAGGTCAGAACCTGTGAATACTGTATCATATCTAATTAACACCAGGGACCAAACCTTATGTTTCAACCCCTAAAACACTTACATTTCCAGCCAGGTCAAAGCTATGAGTTTAATTACCACTGCTTTACTGAGGAACCACAAGTGGGCGTAGTTTTACAGTATTTTGCCCAGACCTCCCCTTTCTTCAGCTTTTAGGAACAGTACATTTAGAGCTCCGCACTACACTTGTTGTTGCAGTTCTGTGCGGTTCTTCTTACCCTCTGATAGTTAATTTCAGGTTTATCGAGGAACATGGTCTCCATTTCATATTTGTTTCATGGCTGGTTTCACTTAGTAAGACCTGGCGCTGAAAAGATCATGTCCCTCAAAAAAAAAAAGAGTTCTAACTTAAAGGTTTCTGTGAAATTTGGCGAGGAGGTATTTTAGCTCTTGGGAATATGTCAGAGCTCAACACGAAGGGTGAACCGAGATGAAAGAAATACTGGTATGTCCTGTCCTAGTGACTGTGCCGTTTACCAAACCCCCAACTTCACTGTAACCTCTCATTCTTCCCAAAGCCTTGCTCAGACTGCGCCGAGAGAGAACAGGCTGGACCGAAGGACTTACTCTTCCTTTCCTCTGTGCTGTTGAGGAAATGCTTCACGTGGTCTGAAGGAATGGCAAAGGAAATGCCTGCCGTCACTTTCATGGTGTTGATACCAATCACCTCCCCATCCTGGAGGCAAAATCAGAGGCAGTCAGAGTGGCTGCAGTGTCATTATAACTGTAGCTCCAGAAGGCCCCACTAAAGCAAGCGTGGACACACTCGGCTGTCTTTCATATTGACCTCCAAACTTCCTACCACCAGGACTAACCCTCTCAGTTGGGCGAGCTACTTTGTCTTCGGTAACACATAATTAAAACTGGGACCAGATTCACTAAAGTTCAGGATTAAAATAACTCGTAGTGAGAAGGACTCAAATGTATTACAATAGGCTACGGCCTGGTTAAAAAAGCTTGTCCTCTGCAGTTTTTTTTCCCCCATTTTTCCCCCTCATTTGCACTAGCTTGGAAAATCAAGAAAGGACAAGATGACTACAGAATGACATCCCAGCAGCGCCAACTTAACTAGTTCATGTCATGCCAAATACAACAGAAAGCTTCAAGACAACTGAAGTAGGCCATATAACGTACAGTAAAAATTTGACATTAAATACTGACAGTTTTCTTTAACTTTGTGTGGGAATCATATTAGAAAACATTTAGTACAAGATCTAGTATGGGCAGCGCAGTGGCAATGCTGCCTCACAGGCTCCTGGGATTCACGGTGGCCTGCGGTGCCTTCTGTGTGGAGTACGCATGCTCTCCCCATAGCGACATGGGTTTTTCCAGTTTCCTCCCACTTAACTGGCATCTTTAAATTCCCCCCTAGAATTAAAGTGTATGTGCCCTGCAATCGGCTGGCATCCTGCCCTGGATATGTCCTGCCTTCAGCACGTTCTGAGCCGTGACCTCACGACCCGAGCCTTTCATGATCTAAAAACTGGGTCGAGGGCTGGTTTTCAGGTAGATGTCATAAGGTGGATGGATGGTTTTATGAGCAAGCCAATGAAAAAACTAAGCAAAAAATTTAAAGCATCATGATTTGCATTCCAGTTACTCGAACCATTTTGTTACCTTGTGCCTGTTTACATATCAAGGAGGTGTGATCCACATAGCCCCAGGGTTCCCACAATTTCACATTCTTGAGTCACAGAAATAAAGTAGTATGGTGACCCTTTAACTCCCATTCGTTTCCCTTCTTAGCTTTGTTTCTTTTGTTTTCCACAGTTATATTCCTGGGAATAACTATTTCTGTCACATGTCTCTGTGTTAATTACACATGGAAAAAAACTAAAAATAACCTAAAGGTATAGCACCTTGAGATTTGTGGGATCGACTGTACTATATATAAGTATAGGAACAAGTAATAGGTTTATTCCATGCTGAAAAAAAGAAGAAAGAGAACACAACGTTTCGGCCGTGGAGCCTTCTTCAGGTGTGTCAGAAGAAGAAGGCTCCATGGCCGAAACGTTGTGTTCTCTTTCTTCTTTTTTTCAGCATGGAATAAACCTATTACTTGTTCCTTTGCAGCCTACGCATGCTGACGCAGCTACCCACCTGAACTATATATAAGTATATCCTACTTAAAACCTACTTAATTGCTGGGAGTTATACAGGATTTCTTGGAAAGACTTGAATTCTTCATCACGCTACTGAGTAAGAATGGAGGGGCCTAGTGCTATGCACTTAGAAACAAAAAAATCTGCAAAAATGATAAAAGTAAATTATTTTTCTGTGTTTTAATCCAAAAGTAACAAATGAACATTTTTCCCTGTGACCTTAAGATGTGATTATTTAAAAAAATTAATATAACTCATTATCATGTCCTTTCAGTAAAATGCGATGGCTGGCTGGGTTTTTTTTCCCCCAAGATTGTGTTTCTTTTCTTTGCATTATGACTTTGCAATTAACTTACAACAACATACTGGAGCATTTATAACAAGGTTTTAACCGGCAAGCTCTGGAAAAAAAAGTTTTAAAAAAACATCATACACCGTTTTCTGAAAGGGACTTTTGCGTTGTTCATTGTCTCTGAAAGACAAGCTTAGGCAAATCCGGAACAACATCACTAGTGTGAAGGCTGTGAAGTTTTGGGACTTACCAGATTGATGAGTGGCCCGCCAGAGTTTCCAAACTGCAAGACAGTACAACAAAACATGTTTTTCAAAAACGGCAACAAAACAAAAACAAGCACAAGCCTAGATTTAAAAGATAAACGATGCATTAAGTTTGCGAGTCAATAAAAACATGAACTATACAATTCGTAAGTGTGAAACAAAAACGTAAAAGAAACGATAAATACCTCTCACTGTACAATAAACAGTAGCTATGTAAACACTTCAAGAATTGATTTAAAAAGAGAGAGAGTCTTTATTATCCCCGATGGTGAAAGTTGTTTTACTGCAGCAGTGTTCGTGTACAGACAAACAGAAAAAAACAACGACAACAACAATGATACACATACATAGAAAGTCAAGTGTTAATTAACGATATGGCTACAGGTATGAATGATTAAGTCTATTGGGTTTGGAGTTGGGGAGGCGGTATCTGCGTTCTGATGGGAGTAACTGGAAGGTATTAAACAAGGGGTGTGAAGGATCGTCACAGATGGATTTTGCTTTCCGTAAAACACGTGTTTGACAGATGGAGCAGAGGGCTGGAAGATCAGTCCCAGTGACCTCCTGACATATTTTCACCAGGCTGCCCAGTTTGTTCTTGCCTCTCAGATTCAGGCAGCCAAACCAGCAGATCAGGGTAAAAGTCAGAACAGATTCAAGGTGAAAACTAACCCATTGTGAGCTAACACCGAGGACATGAATGTGAGGTGTGAAGAATAAATGAAAACAAAGAGCAGGAAAGTTGAGCAGGCTATGAAAGGAAAGGGCCCCAATATCAACCCACGCTCCTGAGCCACAGTCGGGGTTGTTTAGCGACACGTGCTTTCTGTAGAATTCCCCGTGTTATTTGCCGGTGTGAAAACCTTCCGAGTCTGGGCAGAGGGCTCCAGACGGCTGCACGGCGCAGGACCTACGTCGATGGCAGCGTCGGTCTGGATGTAGTCCATGTTGGTGTTGGAAAGGCCCAGCTCCCGGCTGCCTCTCTGCACTGAGCTCACGATCCCGGACGTGATGGTGTTGCGCAGAGCGAAGGGGCTTCCCATGGCGACCACGAACTCCCCCTGCCGCACCTCCGCAGACACACCCAGGGGCAGAGTCGGGAGGGGGTGCTGCAGAGGGGGGAGACACCCATTACACACCAGCAGACAGAAAGGGTGGGCGATTTGACAGGAGTCTCCCTCAGCCACTTGAAGGGATGGCATTTGATCGACCAGCGGTGAAAGAATAATAAAGCAAAACTATTTCATACTGCCGATGCTCTTCAAAATTCGCCTCTGCACAACCAGAGCAACATCGGGTAGTAATTCTGAATATAAGGGTGCTCTCCCTTACCGTACTGTATCCAAAAGATTCAGTTCATATTTCAGGTCAGCACAGGAAGGTGACAGAAGCAATTATATTTCATTTTGGAATCTTTAAACTTTTGCAATATTGCTGCTTTGCGGTCTGACACTCATTTCTTTATACAAACAAGATCTTTTCCATTCTAGTGTTGCTAGTGTTATCCTAGGGGTGGCACAGTGGTGTAGTAGTTAGCGTCGCTCCCTTGCGGTGTCAGGGACCTGGGCCCAACTGGGGTGCTGTCTGGGTGGAGTTTGAATGTTCTCCCATGGTTACATGGGTTTCCCCCAGGGGCCTACTGGTACAGGTACATCCTGGCATTTCCCTTCTGATGTTGACTAAAATGTAACTTTCTCTAAGCAGGCTCCTCACACTGCTCTGCAACATCTGTTCATGGATTCAAACCAAAGGAATCTCCTCTTTGTCAGAACGGAGCTTCAGACTTTTATTGTTTAAACCATGTCATCATGACGTTGTACTTTTCACGCCGAACAGATATCGCTACTTTAGAAAAGGCGAATTCTTCCATTACAGCACTAAAGGCAGGCTACACATTGCACCATGCATGTAAACGTTGTGTGTTGGTAAAAATGTATACACCCCAAAAAACACATTGTTTTTCCACCAAAGCAAAGAGAATTAAATCATGCAAGAAGAGAGCCATTAAATAATGGGGAAAGATCTTTGAACCCCATATTGTCTGTCTGCGAGTTATTCTTCTGGGACGCTTAAAGTGTGCTTCCTGCTGGGAACTTTCACAAAACCTGCCCATTCAGGAAAACCAGCAGACTATAATGCTGGAAACACAGATCTGTGCCTTAGCTGTGAACACAGATTGGCAATACCATAGACATTCATAAAATAGTTTTTCAAGTCATGAAAATGTCTGTGTACATATAAAATTGACCAGATCAGACCCCGTTCCCTTGCCTACCTTTGCATTTATCTTGATAGTGGCGACATCTGCTACCTGGTCCACATCCTGCACGACCGCGTTGTACGTCTCACCGTTAGCCAGCTTGACTCTCACTCCTCGCTTGTTGGCCACCACATGAGCATTCGTTACTATCAGCCCATCCTTGCTGATGATGAATCCCGAACCGTTGGAGATCGGAATCTCTCTGCGTGTATACGGGTGCCTAACACAGAATAAACACATGCAACATGCAAGCAGCAACTGTCACAAGCCTTAAAGAAGCCTCATCTTTGACTATAACGGTTTCTGACCTCTGCTGACCGCAGAGCACAATCCAGTCCAAGCAGACATAGAGAAGGGCAACATAAGAGGTGGTCTCAGGGGCTGGAATGATGCTGTAGAATCACTGCTGAGTGACTGCTCTAGCAAACCATTTATCTGTGACACACAGAGTTCAGCAGAAACCCTGCAGCAGGCTGCATGAAGGTAAACACCACGCTTTTAAAAAAAAACAGCACAACCTCGTTAGAATGTCTCACTCATCCTAATCAGGGAACAAATGACGTGACCGGAGAAAACCATCAATCCATGTCGTTTTTGTAAATCAAATTACTCACAGGTGTTTAGGCTGTGACATTCACAAGAAAAGCGGTGTTTCATGTGCAGTGTGCTCACACGGTAAAACATTGTTTTTGTTACGTTTTTAAAATTGCACTCCCTTGTGTTACGAGTTTACAACAGTACAAGACGACTAATTAAAACTGGGAGTTATATTATTCGGCTCAGGGTAACACTACAAATCACACACAGAATGCTAATGAAAACTTTTAGAAAACCTGTACAGACTTTGAGATTTTTTTGAAGACAGTTCTTAATTTGAATCTCGTGATTTACAATCACAGACGGAACAGCTGATCCGTCTTGCACATCTAAAAACATACAATTGAACTTCTTACCTTCCAACAATCTCAATGTAAACAACTGCAGGCGCCGACTTTTCCACGACATCTGCGATGAAGTTGTACGTATACCGGGGACTATCCGGTTTGACCGGGGTAGCACACCGCGCTACTGGCAGCAGATTATGGAGGGAGGCGCCGGTAAAACGGATCCCCAAAGGACTCGTCCCAGGTGATGACTGATCCTCTGAATCTGCCCTGGAATACAGCAGAGCAGCCCCTCCGATCCCCAGACCAATAACCCAGGCTGTCCTGTACCGACCAGTCCGATGACAGCCATTGCTCCAGTTGTTAGTTTTCTCCCGTACTTGATCTCCGGGAGTGTGCCCCAGCGCTCGTAGAGGAAAACGGGAATCCTGCAGGCAATTCCTGAACAGCCGAAGCAGGCGACTGGAAGCCGCCATGTTGGCAATTAATTCTGTGACTTCACGTCAGAAAAATCTGTTTACGATAGTTCTCGTGCATTGCATTTTGGGAGATGTATTGAAGAATGTTCCACTGATCTGTTTGATCTGGCCTGGGGGAGGCCGCTATAAAACTACATACCCCAGGAACCGCCGAAGTTTAGGTAAAAACGTTTGATCTTATGCAAGTAAGGACACACGTGAAGTAGCAGTCGTACGGAAGAGGTGAAATAAAGTAAGGGGAGCATTAAAATCGATTGGTTTTAAGTTATACTTATTGTAGTACTTAATTTATTTTAAAGTACCATTGAAAAATACGTGAAGGGCGATATTACGTTTGAAACGTGTGTAACTTTGCTGCATAGTTATAGTTATGAGATTTTTAATAAACTGTGCACTTTACATGATCTAAGAGACATTACCAATTTATTTAAATGGACGGCAATGGCGGTATTTGAAGAGTGCAACTGTTCCTTATGAAGTTAACTTTGTATAGATGTATACTGTAGTCTGCTAACTTGTAACAGTGTAGAAGCTTATAAATGCACTGCCGTACAACCTAATGAATTGTGTTGCAGAAAAATGCACAAGTCGATCCCGCGTTTCAGTATATTTTGGAGCTCACTGTGTGAAAAACGAAAGGCGAGATTCTTACTTCCTTATATTTTGGATGTCGGCCTAGTTTAATTCCTCCTTTTGTATTTGACCCCGAGTTTCCGCAGCAGGCACCCAGAGACCGAAGATGTCGAGTTTATCAGCAGCAAGCTGCGATTCCACTAAGGATGCGACGGAGCCGCAGGAAAAGAAGCCCCTGAAACCGTGCTGTGCGTGTCCAGAGACCAAGAAGGCCCGGGACGCCTGGTGAGGACCCTGCCCTTCCTTCTCAATCTCCCTTCAAGCCCTTCAATGATTGTGGGTTCTACAGGGTTGTAGTTTTTCTGAAGTGTGCTGAAGTATTAAGAATCAAAACCTTTTTTTCCCAGATGAACGTTTTACTTAAACTCTGCTTTTTTATTTTCTGATGGAATCTGCCATTTTCGCCGCACTGGCATGGAAGTGTTGGGTTTAAAGAAAACAAGTTGTTTTTTTTTTAAATATGTTTTTGTGGACCTGGAAGAAACCTGGAACACGTTGCCTAAAGATGCCCATGGATATCGACACAAAAATATATTAGCTGAGCTTGATGAATGACTTGAAAAATGTTTTTCCTGAACTTTGTTGTTACGGGAAAGTGGTTTATGCATGGTTTAGTTCTGCCTGAGTGACGGACTGGAATTAATTGAGTTTGGCCTTCATAACATGACGTCAGCTGGAAGCTCATCAGTTGAGTGCTCCCCCAGGCAATTAATCCAAAACAACGCAAACCTTCCTTTGTTCTCTAGTCCGTCTCGTGCAGGACTATGCATTTGGTTGCCAGACATCTCGTGTTATGCTTTTACTGACCACTCTTGGTCTTCCACATTTCCTGTAACACAGTTTTTGTATTTTGGGGTTAGAAATAATCAGCACTGATAAGTGCATTTCAAACCAAATAAAAGGAAAATGTGCACAGTAACTTGTAAAACCTCCAATTTCCAGCACAGACTTTCCAGGTATGCGCAGCGCCATATTCTGTGATTCAGAATAAGGCAACACAGCTTCTGGTGATTTGTGTGACCCTATGACAATATAAACAAGAAGGCTCGTGACTACATCTCTTCTAATCTGGTAGAAATATTGCTCTAGATTTTAAGACGGTTTTGCAGACAAATACTGCTTATTAACTCTGGCTGCAGATCACCCTGGAACATTTCTGCGGTGAACTATCTGCTGCACAACCTGTAATTATTCCATTGTACATCACACGAATTAGTCAGTACAGTGACTAGCGAGCAGGAAGGGTCACTTCACGTCACAATTCAGGTGAGCTCTCGCCCATGGTGGGACTGGGGCAACTTACAGGAATTTCACCAAGTTTTCGATTTTGTGCTTAATTTGAAGTTTGCCTTTTGTTTTCTATACTGCCAGTGAATTTATTTTGTTAATGAGATTTAATGACCGGTCTGAGAAATTGGGACTACAGTTGCCCTTTAAGAGCGGTTGTTGAAAGACAGTGGTTGTCCAGACAGCGTGCTTCAAGTGTTTCTGCAGTTTGTGTAATAATGAAAGGCAGTAGGAGGCTGATAAGGGTTTTTCTCATGCTGGTGTTCCTGTGTGCTTTTTCAGCATCATGGAGAAGGGTGAAGAAGGCTGCAAAGATCTGATTGAGGCTCACAAAGACTGCATGAGGGCACTTGGATTTAAAATCTAATTACGTTTTTCAGGGAGGTGCGTGACTGAGTGTTTGTGGTAAGTTTTGATCTGAAATACTGGGCCAGATCCCTCAGTCTTGTTAATAAAGCCTTGCTTGCCTATATTTAATGCAAACTCTTATATTAACACACAGTGTGCCATTGCTCAATAGTAATAATGAATGTATTTATGTGCATTTCATCCCAAAATATCCCCAAGTGTTTAACACAAAAGAGGGGGAGCGTTTTATTCACCACTCAAGTGGATCACCCATCTGGGGGGTGTGCAGTTATCATATTCGCTTTAGGTGGGCTAGATAGTGCACGTCCGGAGTGGAAGTTAGCCAGGACACTGGGGTTAACAAGGAAGAACCTGAGTTTAACGTGTCATCTGGTGGTCAGCGCCTCCTACAGCACAGCGTCTACCGACGTGGAAATTGGATGCCTGGAAAGTCAGGTCGAGGGGGATGAGCACCACTTACTGGTCCTTGGAGGTCTTCCACCCCTGTACTGACCAGGCCCTGCCATGCTTAGCTTCAGAAGTCTGGCACTGCTGTTGCTACATAGATCACTTGTCAAAAGTAACGTTTTTCTAAATGACGCCTGTTACCACAGAATCTGAATTCCAAGACAAATCAGAATCTGGTTTTAAAGTTGACGAATAATAACCTTTGTTCCATTTTAAAAATGATTAATGGTTAATTGTGCTCATGCGTACAGTGCCTGTTGAAAGTTTTCACATTTTGTGGCCCAACAGCCTGAAATCAAAACACATTAACAATTAATTTTACCTTTATTTGCACACTGTAGCTCACAACCCCAAATGCAAAAGGGTATGAGCCAGCAGCCATATCACTCTGCAACTCACAACTGGCAACCTACTGAAGCTCAGCAGGTGTGAGCCTGGTCAGTACCTGGATAGGAGACCTCCTGGGAAAAACTAAGGTTGCTGCTGGAAGAGGTGTTACTGAGGCCAGCAGGGGGCGCTCACCCTGTGGTCCATGTGGGTCCTAATGCCCCGGTATAGTGACGGGGACACTATACTGTAAACGGGCGGGTCCTTCGGATGAGACGTAAAACCGAGGTCCTGACTTTCTGTGGTCATTAAAAATCCCAGGGTGTTTCTTGAAAAGAGTAGGGGTGTAACCCTATCATCAGCTCTCAGTGGGGAGGAGAGCAGAGTAATGAAGCCAATTCATAGATAGGGATTATTAGGAGGCCATGATTGGTAAGGGCCAATGGGAAATTTGGCCAGGACGGCAGGGTTACACCTGTACTCTTTTCGAGAAACGCCCTGGGATTTTTAATGACCACAGAGAGTCAGGACCTCGGTTTTACATCTCATCCGAAGGACGGCGCCTGTTTACAGTATCGTGTCCTCATCGCCATACTGGGGCATTAGGACCCATATAGACTGCAGGGTGAGCGCCCCCTACTGGCCCCACTAACACCCTTTCCAGCAGCAACCTTAGTTTTTCCCAGGAGGTCTCCCATCCAGGTACTGACCAGGCTCACACCTGCTGAGTTCCAGTTGGCTGCCAGTTGTGAGTTGCAGGGTGATATGGCTGCTGGCAATAAAGACTGATATAAATGCCTGCAGGTCCTTCAGAGTTGCCATTGAATTCTTGGGAGGCCTCTCTGACCAGCCTCCTCCTCCTCCTTGCTCGGTCATCCATTTTGGAAGAATGACCAAATCTAGGCATGGTCTTGGTGGTGCCATGTGTCTTTGGCTACTTGACCATGCTCAAAGGGATATTTAGAGCCTTCAAAATATTTCCATATTCATCTCCTATTCTGTGACTTTCTGCAACTTTATCCTGGAGGCCTTTTGATAGCCCCTTGTTCCCCATAGTTGACTCTTTGAGATGCCCCAGACAGAAGAGGAGAGCTACAGGAAGAACTGATTTTACTCTGAATGAATCTTCACAATCTCTACAGTTGAACATACTGTTGGTGTGGAGCTTAATTAGATTATTGGGTGATTTAGAAAGCAATTAAACCAGAGCTAATTTACCTTTGCTGGTACTAAGGATGTGTATACGTATCCGACCATTTTTCTGGGTTTTTCCATTTGTACTTGCCAGAATGTTTGTAATGCACGACCTCCCAAGTGAAAAACAAAAGTGCAATGTATTAATAAAGGATACATTTTTATTCTGATCTGATGTTTTGATTTCAGCTTTGTAGGCCACAAAGTGTTATTTTGGAAAGGGTGAGCTGTCTTTTTGTATGCACTGTAGATGTGGAGCTTGATTACTATAACATGGGTGTTGATCTGCTGTTGAATCAGTCCTAATCTGTGGTTAATTTTTTTTTCTGCCTCCTTAGTGTGTTCTTGCTGGCTGGTGTCGCTGAGCTGCTATGGGAAGGATCTTCTGAGCTTTATTTATTTCTTCACTGGAACAGAAGATGGTGTGAACTATAGAGGGTGTTCTTTTCTGAATGCAAATATTCTTTCTTTTGATAAAGTGTTTCTTTTCAAAATGCTTGATTTTAATTAAAAAAAAACAATGGTTTCTGATTTTTCCGCTTGTTCGACCTTTTAATTATTTCACTTGAAGAAGGTTTTGCTGTTTAGAAATGAGTAAGGGTTTATTGCTTTTTGTTGTAGTTTTACGTTGCATCTGTTGGCTTACTGTTCAATTTGTACATGTAACCATTTGAACTAAAGTAGTACTGTTCCGTACATGTGGGATGGACTATACAAAAACTTTAAACTATTTTAATTAAAAAAAACTTGCCATACTGGTGTGAAAAGGGGAATTTGTACATTTAGTGATTTTGTGCTCTAGGAAACCATATTCAACTACTGAATTCAGTATCTGTAAAGTTAGAGAGGTGAGCCAGTGTGCAGATTTCTGGCTCTACTCGTGTCACGCAATAAACGAGGATAAATGAAGTATGAATACTCATTACTATTTAGGAACTCCCTCTACTATCACTTCCATAATAAAATATTAGGAATGTTGTTTAAGGGATCCAAATGGAATCTTAATGTATATCTTCGCGTACAGAAACCGTAGTCCTTTATTGCTGGCACTCTAAGGATATAGCAAATGATTTCAGAAATTGTATGCCGGAATCTGGATGGCAACAGCTGCTTCTGTAGACATGATGTGCTACTTTAAATAGAACAACAGGCATTCTAAATCAGCACTTCAACTGCTCTGAACCCTTATCATAGCAAGATCCTGCTCTCTTAAGAGGAACAATCCTTGATATATAGTTAAGAAATTACATTGTACTTCTTGATAATGGTATACCTGTAACGTTGAAGTAGTTCAGGTGGGGAGCTGCATCAGCATGTGTAGGCTGCAAAGGAATAAGTAAAGGTTTAGTCCATGCTGAAAAGAGAAGAAAGAAAACACGTTTCAGCCGTGAAGCCTTCTTCGGGTGACCTCACCTGTAACATTCCTTCTTTGCAATGAATAACTATGCTAATGATATTCTTGTGCATAATTTGAGAGTAGGTGTTCATAGACACTTTAAACTGTATATAAGTACTGCACAAGAAAAACATTAAATTATTCAGCATGAAATTATTCAAATACATTATGAACATTTCAGTTATTTATAAGTATTTGCAATTGTTGCAAGCTGGCAAGTTTCAGCATCAGGATTGATCTTAAACACCAAAAGGTTATTCTTTTTAGCAATTATAAATTCATTAGAAATCTTTAGAGGAACTGAAATTTTGCAACGCAAAGAAAATCAAGTCGGAATGGCTTGCAAGCCAGAAAAATAAATCTGGAGGAAACTATAAGAATAATTGTCAAATCGGTTGTGGTGAAGAGTCTTCCAGAGCTCCTAATCTTTTAGACATTCAACAGCAGTGCCTCCCCTCCAGGACCTTGTATGGACAGTACAATTCATATCGAGAGGATCGCACTTCAGAAAGAACACAAGTGCTTAACCTTTACATCGTATCTCATGTGGCAGGCTGAACAGCAATGTGCCTGACCTCTTGATCTCTTTCACCTTCAGACAACTTCCTTTCCAGGCAACAGAATCTGTCAGCGGGTCGATGGTGAAGCATGTGTTGCAGAACAGTGGAATCAAGGCTATTGATTTTGAGAGTGCCCCAGCTTCCTGAAAGGATCTCCTCTGTTGCCCAGTGGTATGATTGTCTATGACATGGGTCTCCTAATCTCACGTCATTATTGAATTTGATGTATTGTTTGGTTGTGCGGTTGAGGTGAAAGTTTATTTCCACCTTCTTTCTATTCCTCTATTGTATATTATATTTTGGATTTTTTTATCCAGAAGTTTAATTCTATAAAAGGCTGTAGTTACTGTACTAGTTATATTCGGTTAAACTCCCTTTGTTGAGTAATATCCAGGGTATTATGTCACTTAAGAAAAACATAGCAGCCAAATGATGATGATCATTTAACAATGCAGTATTAGAAGAGGGATTAGTTTGCAAAAAGCTAGAAGAAGTAGGTAGTTTAATATGATAGAAAATGTTTCCCAATAAAAAACATTACAATTTCATCAGCAATTATTAACTGATTTGGAGCTGATAAGTTATCAGTGGTTGGAAGAAGCAAATGTTTTAATACAAGGAGAAACAGCAGCTTCTCATTTCTCCTATCACAGATAATATTCAGATATCAGTCACAACCACATAAAACACTGCCACAGCAACCAAAACACCCAAGAAAAAGAGAAATAGTGATTGTGAAAGACTCAGATTTCAGGAACACTGAAAGTGAGATACTGTATACTTGAAAGATAAGATCACCTGACTGGCCCTATACAATCTCTTGTATTAGGAATTTGTCTTTTCACATACCCCTAACTTGCTGTCCATGAGACACACAGACAGGGAGAGAAGCTGGGGGTCAGACTGCAGGGTCAGCCATTGTACAGCGCCCCTGGAGCAGTTGGGGTGAAGGGCCTTGCTCAGGGGCCCAACAGAGTAGGATTCCTCTGCTGGCCGCGGGATTCGAACTGGCAACCTTCCAGCCACAGGCGCAGATTCTTAGCCACAGAGCCGCCGCACAGCCCTGCAGTGAGAAGGAGCCTGAGTCATCGGCAGGCTGCTGTTTCCCTGGAGCTGAACTGGCTGACACTGTGGAAAGAATAAACAGGCTTCTACCAAATCGGGGTGAGGACCCCATAGTTGTTTGTTTCATATTGCAACAAACATAACTGGCATAACAGCACTCTTTCTGTATTAAATTCAAAGACCTTGAAAAACACTGAAGAGCTGGACTAAATCAGGGTTGTTTGCAGGAATATTGCCTAATGATGAACAGCTGGAAATATTAATAAATAGGATATGGCGTGCTGAAGAGGAGGCCACTGGAAGACTTTCTGATGCACAGACGTGATCTGCTTGCCCTAGGTGTCAGTAGGCGTGGAGTTAGAATCTACAGAGAAATTCTGAAACTGGACTGGAAGGAAGGAGTATCTGAAGAAAAAAGCAGTGACAAAAAGAGCATGTTGAAGGAAATGATAATAAAAATAATGCTTACACTTATAAACTGCTTTTCTGGACACTCCGCTCAAGTCCGCTCACTTCACAGGTCATGGGGACTCCCCTCCACCACCACCAGTGTGCAGCCCCACCTGGATGATGTAATGGCAGCCTGTACTGCGCTCACAGTACACTCACCACACGGCAGCTACCAGTGAGGAGCAGAACATCGTGTGTCGTGTTCTTGTCCCTGTACTGGGGCATTAGGAACCACACAAACCGCAGGCCGAGCGCCCCTTACTGGCCTCACTAACACCTCTTCCAGCAGCAACCTGAGCTTTCCCAGCTATTGGCCAGGCTCACACCTGCTGCCAGTTGTGCGCTGCAGGGTGATACTAGCTGCTGGCATGCTGCGTGGTTGGGTGCTCAAGCATTGCTATATTTATACACAGGTGATTGAAACTGTTTGAGATTAGTTGGACATCCTCCTGATCTGTCACTTCAAAGGATGTCACTCACTGGCTGTTAATATCATTCAAAACAGCAGTAACACCAGGAAACGTCATGTAGCACCCATCTATAATAAAAGTGACAAAGTGAACCAAATAATGACAAACTGACAATCTTTGCTTTTCAGCTAACCTTAGTCATGTAAGGTTATGAGACAATTACAATTAGAACTAACCTAGAGACATCCTTATGACAAGAAAATTCTAGGGTATAATGAATATCCATTTAGAGAAGATGAGTCCTACCTGACTAACTTTAAGTTATAGTAACATAAAAGAGGAGACCATTCAGTGAATCTAGCCCATTAGGAAGTGGTAGCTCATTGATGCGTTGGATATCATCCAGCCATTTCTTGAAAGAAGCACAAGAGTGTGTTTTGCTCTTTGGCCTGATTCCAGAGCAGCAACATTGTTTTCAACATTATGTCCAACATTATATGCAATATTCTAACAAAGGTTTTTCTAGTGCACAATTATAATATTGACCAGCTTAAGTTCTATCTATTTAGCTATAGACCGTAAAATTCTAAGTGAGGCCAGCTTTCTAGAATTCCAGGTTGACCCAGGGGTATAACAGGTATAAGCCACTTTCTGACAACAGATTGGTGGATTTCATGCTAAAATTGTAAAATGCTCTAATAAGATAATTGAGAATATTGTGTATAATTTTTGATTACCACAATATGAAAAAAAAGATATTCCTGCTTTGGATTTTATTTTATTTTTCAGTTTCAGACAGAGAATGCTGTAAGGGCACGTTATTCAAGTATCCAGAATCAAACAGGAACTAGAGGACACAAATGGAAACCAAGGGAATGTGCTTTTAAAGCAGAAAAGGACAGATACTATTTTGCACAAAGAGTGTTGGGAGACTGGAACAAGCTACCCAGTCATGCTGTTCAATCCCCTTCTATTAAAAAATGGCTGGAGAAAATCCTGTGATCAATTAACAAATAACGAGGAATGAAGCTGAAGGGGCCAAATGGCTTCCTTTCCTTTATACAATTTTTCTATGTTCTTACAGTATGTTGGGTGTATTTCCTTCACTTTGCACCTGGATTCCTACAGCTATTCAAGTGTTCAGTGGGAAAAAAAATCTTACAGTGCAAACATAACAGTGCAAAATGAAAACAATTTTGAATTCTAACATGAAATGTTTAAATGCTTGATCCCCTTTACTCTTTGAACTACTTTTGCTCTCAAGATATAACCATTATTAAACCAATTACTGTAGCTCTTAATGATTGTACTACAAAGATTATTAATCCCAGTGCAATCCACTGAAAATGTCCTTTTTACAGAGTGTCCCACTTTCACAGTTATTTTTGTCCATGACAGGCTTTACAGTGTTGGACTTAATTGAATTCTTTTATTTTCATATTACATGCTTTTTTAATTGTCTTTTCTTATGTGACAAGAATAGTAAGATCGGTAATCACATTTTATTGTTGCCATTTGATACAGAAAATATAATTTGCAATATATATCAGTAGAATGCATAGCATTTTTAAATGGTTGTAAATCTTAAGTACTAAACAACCCATTACTTTATGAATCAGAGAAATCAAACCATACTGCTTAAAGGATGCTAGCAGGAATGGGAAATTGGGAGTAGTCAAAGAGAAAGATTGAGTCATTTGCAGCAATCTTACTAATTAAGCAGTTATCTTCAAATGCAAAATACTTTATGTACAGGAGATGTTTTCTAACAGAGAAAAACATAATGTTTTGCACATTGTGTTGCAAGTGCTCTTGTGTTAGAAGTTATTTATGGGGCAAATTGTTGAAAATAGAGCCTTTGCGGCACATGAGCAGAGAGAATACAGGACGTGGAATTTTAATGGTTCAATCATAAAAACTGCACAGGAGCTGTCGTTCTGGAAAACAGTTGTCTTCTTCCCCATTCTGGCTTGGTGACTTTTCCCCGGATCATGACTACTTTCTTTGACCGACGCTGTTATTTAAATCAGTTTACAGTGGCGCCAATTCGCACAGCTGCTTATTTTACACAGTGGGTGAATTATTCAAGGTAAACACGTGTCACACCTGGGATTTGGGGCTCACAGACTTCCAGGTACAAGTCCATAACTCTAACCACGGCCCTCCAGTGTACTGCTATTTCTTTGTCATTTCTATTTCGCTCCCTACTGCTGCCCCAGTGAAGCTCTTTGCTTTTCTCTGATACATTTGTAGCAGTAAGTAAGGCCCTGTACCTGTAGAAGCCCATAAAGGCCAGGAAACAATGGAAACACGCTGTCAAGTTTGTTGTGGTGGATTAGTGCCTCACAAGATGTCCGTCATGTGACGTTCTGCGCGGGCCTGCCGGAGGGACAGCTGTCTGCCGCCGCCAGCTCTGCTCAAGTATGAAGATGGATTGAATGGCAATCGAATTCGGCTGGGGCAGCTCCTCGCCGCATGCCTCCCTCGAACTCATGGCTCCACCTTTAACAGAGAGTGACGAGCAGGAGCTGGCATGCAAACCACGGGCCGGGGGTCAGAGCTGAAATCCGAGCCGCCGTGCCGTTCCACCTATTTAAACGTCTAAAAAAGAAAAGTCCCACCCGAACACGCCGGAACCATTGCGAAGCGCTGGTCGGGCAGTTGTCTGTCCGCTTCAGGGGACCACATCAGAAATCCAGAGCAGGTTCACAAACAGGACGAAGCGAAAGCTGAGCTGATGACAGGGAAGCAGGGCTCTCTGCCACTTCTTATCACCTCAGCCGGGCAGCGTTATGTTAAGTGCCCCATCTGCTTTCCATCCATGGCTCTTTGCTCCTTGGGTTTCAATTCCAAACATGGTTATCCTTCTGGGGTCTCTCTCTGCACTCCCTGTTGCCAAGGGACGTACATTCCAGATGAAACACTCGGCGAAGAACCAGAGGGAGAGGGAGGGAGAGGGAGGGAGCAGCAGGCAGGCAGAGAGAGGGGCTGGAAAGAGTGTAAGAAAACAGAAGGGAGAAATCGATGCAGGTTCCGAACCAGGCTAGTGGAGAAATGAATTCAGGGACTGCTTTTGTCCGGCACAGGACTTGATCTATCCAAGTAATACATCAGGGAGCAAATTTTACTTTAGACACTTGTTTATTTTCTTGTTTCTTATTCCTTGTTCCTGGAGAAGTGTATTTTAGTGTACTTTTTTCTAAAGGCCTTTCAGTCATTTGTTTCACCTTTTTTTGAACTTGGATCCTGAAGGTGCGGCAGACAGACATGTGGAAGGAAAACTCAACCCTGTTTGCCACCATGTTTTATGGGCACCCTCAGTGTGAGGAGTGGAGCAGCGGCACAGAGGGGGCTGTATACCAGCTGGGCAACATCCTGTTTATCTTAGGGTATATGGGGGGCAGTGGTGTTTTCGGCACGATCTACATCTTCAGCCTCCTGGCCCCGGGCTTTCTCTGCTACGCTCTGTGGGGCTGGCTGGACGCGTGCGGTGCCGATATTGTCTTCTGGAGCATTCTGCTGCTGCTTCTCTGTCTCCTGCAGCTGGCTCACCTCATCTACCGCCTCCGCAAGGACAGCTTCGAGGAGGAGCTCGACATCCTCTACAAGGGCATCTACCTGCCACTGGAGGTGCCCGTGCCCATCTTCAAGGAGATCGTCGCCGCCGGCGAGAACCAGGTCGTCTCTCTGGACAAGGACCAGAACTACGCCCTGGAGGGGAAGACCCCCATCGACAGGCTGTCCTTCCTGCTGTCGGGGAGGTAAGTAGCCGGCCATTGAGAAAAATAAAACCTTCCTGCAGGCCCCCGTCATCTGAAACACATGCTGTATCTCTTTCCGAGGCCGATGCTGACAGATTAGAATCTCGCTGAACAGGACTGGGAGTTGAGAGAAATAAAAAACAACCGCCACTACTTTAATCAACACCAGCTCGGAAATAACTGGACGAGAGTTAAAAAGGAAAATCATGAGGTTGCTTGATTCTTGAGAAGAAGAATTGTTGCCATGAAGTAGAAAGAGCATCAGCTGTGCAGAAAAGAGGAACTGTTTCCCCTTTGACCGGGGACATTTAAAAACTAAACCAGATATTATTGATAAATCTAACCAATATGTTTTAATTTCACCTTATCCGAATAAGTGATATATAATGCTGAGCCTATCATTACAACATAGGAAAAGATTTTTTAGAATTGTTTCATTCTAAAGTCTGAAGGAGATGTCAGTATCGTGAGTTATGAGTTGGCTTACAGAAGCTTCTATGAAACAACAGCTGTTTTGTGCTTTAACAGTGAAAAAGATCTCCATGTAGAACCCAAATAGGCTTAAAATATAGCAGGATTTTTATCTTTTGGACAAGCAGAAATGTAAGTGATTCAACCCAAAAGTTTCACCACACTTTATTTTCTTCTCAGTTACAATGTATTGAGTAAAAGTGAAACTTTCTCATAGTATCAGCAATTTATGTTATGTGCACATTACTTTTCCAAGTGAAATCTTACAGCATCAAACATTTTATTGATTTCCTGTGAGAATTTATTCTTGGAATGGAGAATGTTGATTCTTTTAGATTATACTATTTTGCTGTTTTCCTGTTACTGATAACTAAGATTGATGTTTTTTGAACAAGGGTATCTGAAAAAGCCAAAAACTCTTTATAGAAGGAAGCAACAGTATCAGCTTCATCACGATGGTTGGGCAGCATGTTCCACACTCCTTCAACCCTTTGTAAAAAAAGACATGCCTCCTGATCATGCAATGCATTCATGCATACAATGCATTGCATTCATGCATGCAGTGCAATGCAAGAGAATCAGCATAGATGCCTGGTTGTGAATGAGTAAAACCACGTGTAGCCAAAGTCTCTAGCTCACAATATGTTTCTGAATTCATATGCTAGTCTCTGCAGCAGGGACAGTTTTCTCTCTTGCTATATGACTGCATTTTAACTTAATCCACCTGCTGCTCTCTCTATGACTGTCCTTATTTACATGATCAACCTCCTTTCCTCTCCAATCTGTCACTCTAGCAATACTGAAAAGCTACTGCTTCCTAGCCTCCAGTCTTCTGATATGTTTCCCACATTTTAGCTAGCCTATGAATCTTCCCGAAAACTCAATTGAATGACCCATCAAGCCAGCGTGCCTGCACTGTTGTAAAGCCAACATGAACACAAAAATGATTCAGTTCAAGACTAACTGTTCTGAAAATGACTTAATGATACTTTATGGTTACCAATTTCAAATTTCAAATTTAAGTAAAATTAAATCTGCAATGCATTTGCAATATTTATGCAAAAAAATGTTTCCTGTTGATGTTCAACGACTAGAGCGAAATTTGATTTGCATTCTTTAACTTGTTCTCCTAAATGTTTAGTAAGTAATCTTTCTTTTCCTCCATGATTATGTGGTGGGAATGAGGTTCTTGTTTTGTTTTTTCAGTACTGTAGGATACAATTGCCGTAAGGGGATTGCTGCTTGTTTAATTAAAGAGATATTGGTTTATGAAACAGATGAGACAAAGATGTCAGGGGAACCTATGTGTTGAAAAAAAGAGTTTGAAGCTGACTTTCAAGGTGATATCTAGTTAAATAAGGAAATAATGTGGGTTATTAAGGGTTAAACACTTGGTGTAAGGCAAGCTTTGGCGAAACAGTTTCATTCAGTGTCTCAGTGACTTTGAATTTAAAAAATCTTGGCAGTGGCTTCACATCAGAAGCCCGAGTGAACTGCACTCCCCAGTGAGACAGGATCTCATCTACTATCACTGCAACATGCTTTCAAACAAACGAAAGGCTTTTTCTATTTTTGGATGGTGAAGGAAACATTTACAAATTACAGAGGCCAAAATCAAACATGGTACTTGTTACTTGCACAGGGGTAGCTGTTAGACATTTGGAAATTGAGAAGTCTGTGTGTTATGATATAATGTTCCATAATTCTCCATAAATCATGGATATGAGTTATTAAGTATATTTTAAGTAGCTTTCTAAGTATATTTTTGAAACACTGCATTATTTTAAAAAACCTTGAATTTAGGACACAATACAATAAAGAATTTCTGCAATTGAAAAGGTCATTACTGTGCCAATCCGTTCTTGTGGGCTGACTAAGGAAATTTATTTTCACATTGAGTGACTACTATTGGAATATGTAAACTCTTCTGAAATTACAACTATAAGTACTCATACAAAAATAATACAGCAGATTACTAAAGGGATCAAGGAGAATGAAAGTCCACAGATGAGCGAAGTCTCATCTACGGGGAATGGGCTGTGTGGTTCTGAGGAACTTCATTTTTAGTCTCGGCAAAAGACGTCTGAAAAGTGACTTTACTGAAGTCTGCAAAGTCTTAGAGGAAATAAATAAGCTTGATCCCAAAATTTACTCATGATAAGCTCGGTTACATAACTGGGAAAAACGATTTCACACTGATACTAGAAAAAAAATCCACAGAATTCTGTCAGCGCATGGGATAGATTATTGGAGACAGAGATGATTTCATGTCCAGGCTTAGAATTTGTATGGTTTTAAAGGAGTTTTTTTTATGACGAGGAGCTTGATCCAAGAATAGCAAATGCATAAGTAAACTGTCTTTATCATACTGTGAAAAACAATCTTTAGGATGATCCATGTGCTCTATATCATGATTAAATAGGTATGTGGTGAGGTGCAATAATACAAGTAATTTGGAAAATGTCTACTCTAACACACCGCAAATCAGAGTTTGCTTTAGCTCAGCTACTTGACACTTGTAGCACTGTGCAGGTTTTCATTTAAAAAACCCCAACAGAAATTAGTTTGCAAAACATATTTTCACATTTCTCAGGTGAGAAACCGAAGAATCCCTTAAGGCAATTTATTTGTTCTTAATTTATTTGGTTTTGCAACCCCTGGAGTTATTCAGTCTGTAGAACACGGTAAACATAATGCAAGACTGCTTTAGTATATAAATACAACCCAGGAGATCTTGCACAGATATCTGTCCTCCTGCACTGGACAACCTCATTGAAATGTCTCACTAATAACGTGGTGTTGCTGTTTCTCTAAGGATTCGCGTCTCTCTGGAAGGCCAGTTTCTTCACTATATTTTCCCATATCAGTTCCTCGACTCTCCGGAGTGGGAGTCTTTGAGGCCCACGGAAGAAGGAAAGTTTCAGGTAAACACCATCTTAAGGGAAATTAATCACATTGTGGAAGACTAAAAGGAATTTGAGATTGTGTATTAAATTATACTTAATATTTACAAACTAAGGGGCTTCACTCATGGCACATATAATTCATTAATATTCCCATGTGGATGATATGGGTTTATATTTTCAGGCTTGAAGGACAGCCCTACCACGACTGGTTAATAGAAAATAATTATTTTAGTCTTGAACAAACAGATGTATCTATTAGGGCACCTGATTCAACCATTCAAAATCAAAGGCACTGAGGAAAAGTCCAGCCAGGACTTCTTTGGAATCATCAGTGAAACTCTAACCAGAGGACGGAAGTGAAAACATTAGGAAAGTGTATTTTAAACCATGAGCAGGAGGCATATCTTTACACAAAGGGTTGTGGGAGTCTGGAACAACTAACCCATCATGCTGTCAAAGCTGTTACGCTGGATAAAACTTGGTTCTAGCACCCATACAAGTTAGATGGACCGAATACCCTACTCTCATTTCAAACCTTTCTTATGTTTAAATGTTTAGTAAATCATTGTTAAATCTCAATGTGTCTAATACATACTGTACTAACTTCCATTTCCACATCTAGAATGTCAGAAAAGGTTATGACTTAATGGGTTAAAGTAAGATGGGTGTTGTACAATATTCACCATTACTGCAAGATATTCAATTTGTAATCATTTAGAATATAACTTTCTGTTTTTATCCTGTGTCTCTGAGTATTATGTGGATGTACACAGTAACATTAGCCAGGAGTAATTTTCTGAGAACACTAGTGACTTCCAAAAAAACAACTTTTCCAAAAGTACAGAACAGGACTTGAAGGCAATTATCTGTGAATGCATTTTTTTCTGAACACAGTTCAAGTGGTAACCTAGATGTTAGGAGCGGTTGGCAAAGATATTAACAGTTATCTGAAAATTGTATCACTCTTTGCGAAGAAAGAACTGCGTGATGTCATCAAGGTACTCAAAGTGAGCGCCGAAAAAATCTCAACGTTTTACTGTCATTAAAAACACTAAAGATTTAACAGGCAGCCTTATTAGAACTCTGTCTATGTAGGTTTAACTTTCTCGATGCCTTGCAATAAAAATAAGATCAATTTTCCAGCTGCAGTCTTTATTTTTGTTAATTTACTCGCAGTTTATCTGAGCTTTTAAAATAAAGAGGAATGTAACACCACTGTTGCCATCATCTCTCCACGTGTTGTATCTGCCCTTATTTTTCTCACGCAGTGTTTATCAGAGAGTGACTAGACTGCAGCAATCGATTCAATTTGTTTTGTCATTCAAAACATACCGCACAAGCATGTTAACTCACTTAAAAGCCCTACTTTCAAAGTGATTGTTTATGAAGGCAAAAATAGAAGCAGTGAACTAATGATCAATGAAACCCATTTAAAGTCCTCTTAAAGACTTTCAAAGATAAAAGATCAGATACCATTACTTACATCCCAGTGCCTCGATACAGGTGTCGCATTTCTACGTTTGGTATCCTCAATTGCTCAGTCCTGAACAACATCCGGAACAAGGACAGCTCTAAATCTTTGTTTTCTATATGATCGTCATGATCCTGTACTCACAAGCAAATAAAAATGTTACAAACTAAAAAAAATCCATTCGGTGCATCTTGCTTGTTTGGTTTCTAGTAGGTGATTGCTTTAAGGATTTCAACCAACCGTTTCTTTAAGGAAGTCAAAGTATCGCCTTCAACGCCGAGGCTGGGCAGCTTGTTCCACACTCCCACAGCCCTTGTGTAATGAAGCACATTCCATTCTCAGCCTTCAACGAAATTCTATTCACTTGTGTTATAGAGTCCCGAGATGGGAGACCTCCAGGGAAAGTTATGGTGTTGGTGTTAATGGAACAGTAGGTGGTGCTCTACCATTGAGACCAAATTCCCCAACCAAAGCCCTGTTATGGATAGCAGGGACACTGTGCTGTAGACAGAGCTGTGCTTTGGAGGAGATGTCAGACTGGGGTTCTGTGTGGTTCATTATGGATCTCATGGCACAGAAGCTGAAGGGTTAACCTACATGTCCTGGCTAGCACACTCCGAACATCCTAACGTTCCCCTTAAGTTCAGTTGGTGAATCGGTTTGTCAGTTCCACACCTGACCCACAGTGACTGCAACAGGTCACACAGATGAGTGCTGCTTCTCATGGTGCAGTGGCTCTCCTCCAATTTGGGTCTGAAAAGATTGTTATACACTACATCAAGTCATATGAGTAGAGGAGGGTTTGGCCATATGTAACCGTGCATTGGAATTCTTATTCGCACTGATCTCCCAAGATATCGACACAGTACAGCAGACCACACCACACAGTGTAGACCGTACATTACGAACGGAATAAATAATAACAACAGGAGCAATAAATATGTAGTAGTGAAAAAAAACATGGTAGACCATGCAAAACGTGCATAGTGCAGATGTAAATTGAGTCTGAGGAACTGCAGTTAGCTGTTGAGGATGCGTACTGCAGCTGGGTAGAAATGTTATTTTTACATATACATATTTACATAATGTTATCCGTCAGAACAAAAAAAAAAAGACATAAAACTTAACAAAGAAAATGAGTGGAAGTTATTATGTTGTGTGAGAAGAAAGCCAAAAGACCTTATCAGTTATCCAAAGGTGTTTTAGATGTTGAGTACTGTAATGTAAAACAGTGATGAATTCCCCCAGAGTAATATAATTTAATGTATTAATGAGCTACATAATGTGAAGGAAAGGGTATATGCATCTGAATGTCCTTCCAGGCTTTGACCTCTGACCTTTGACCCTTTCGCCAGGTGACTCTGACCGCAGAGACAGACTGCCGCTACATCACCTGGAGGAGAAAGAAACTCTACCTCTTGCTGTCCAGAGAGCGCTACATTGCCCGTCTCTTCTCGGTCATGCTGGGGAATGACATCACCGACAAGCTCTACTCCCTCAACGACAAGCTCTTTGCCAAGAGCGGCGTGCGTCTGGACATTCGCCTGCCCAGTCTCTACCACGTCCTGGCACCCTCCACCAGCGAGGCCGACAGCGAGCACGCAGGGGGTTTCGCGCCCGCTAACCAGAAGACCCCACCGCAGCCGGGCCCAAGGAAGAGCGCCGAGCCTGGTGTCAGCAACCCTCACTTTGGGCCTCAGCCCACTGACACAGAGCTGCCCGGTGAGGATTCGACCAGTCTGATAGTGGAGGACTTTGCAGATTTGACGGGATCCTTTATGGAATATGGCAGTGAAAGAGATTATTTGAAATAGAGAATGGGTATGAGGTCTAATACACTGGCCAGTTCTTAAGTCACATGTAAGTACACTGTCGGCTCTGACTTAAAAAAAATAGATCTGGGATTTGAGCTGCACTTTTACTAACACGGCTTTAAAAAGGAATCACGCTTATACTAACAGAACAGAAAAAAATAATCAAATAAAATAGCGGATTAATCATAGCCATCCCGATTTTGTTGTTTGGAGGGTTTAATTACCACTTGTAATATGCTTAAAAAAGTCTTGCCTATATACTGATTCACTATGAAGAAGTAACTCTTTTACATCAGTAACTCACTGGGTTGCTCACTGCTGGTCCTTGGGATAACGAAATGCTGAAGCCCAGTCAAGTGATTTCATACAAATGCCAGGTGTTCTGTCAATGCTATTTGAAATGAGCTAAAATTCCCAAATTGAGGGGTTCAAGAATCTGTAAATATAAATATAAATCTCCACAGAAACATGAGAGTATAAGAAAGAGTTATGAACAAGAGAAGGTCATTTGGCCCATCTACTTCATATAGTAGTGAGTACATAACTACTTAATTAGTAGCTAAATCCATTCAAAAAGACATGATTTCAAATAACACAAGAAAAATAGATAAAATATGATCTCCCCAGCTTGAGCAATGAAAGTTGGCAGGCTGTTGTGTGACAGAAGCTGCCAGGAGAATGAGCTGTTCTTTTTCAGGAATCAGAGAGTGGAGGAATCGCCTTTTCCGCAAGAAAGCTTTGGGCACAGATGGATGAGAACCGTAGTGACACATTGAAAAAGTCCTTTAGCCAGCTGATTTTCTATTAGTAGCATCTGGAAAGGCCAATTACCAGGAGGCCAAAGATCAGACGGTGGTAGAATTATGTTGGCATGACTTCAAGGCAACATAGATAAAGGCTTTTCTTGGTCAGCCATTTCACCTGACGTGCATTCAGCTGAATGTCTGTGGTACTAACATACCACAGTCATTAAAGGAGACATCCTCGGACAAACCTTTGTCTGCTGGCTGTAGTTGTACAGGCAGAGTGATGGAATATCCCACAGCAGTCTGTCCAGAGGCTGATCAGGTCTAGGTGTCAAAACTGTCAGAATTAAGTTTACACTCATAGCGGCATCTCCTATATCATCTCTGCAATATTGCCCTTCATCACTCTGAAAATGTATTGTGTATTGTTATCTGTGATTTTGGTTTATAGCTGCAGTATGTTTACACTATTGATAAATTCACTCGTATTGCACTTTTCTTGTGCATCAGTATAGATACACAAGCTAATTGCCTTTGCTGTTTGCTTCTCCTTCAAAAGAGAACTTTCTTTGTGTTCCTTTTGCAACACATCTTTGCTGCATTATAGGTCAGAGGTCACAATGTATGTATAAAAATATAGCCCATGAGCAAGAACCCAGAAGTACCAGAAGTAATAATATTATCTGCATTATCCCAGATATTAGATGGGAAATAGCACTTTACAGTACATACTTCGACTTCATCTCACATCATACATAGATGTACATGTACAATTTCAGAAAAAGCAAGATCATGGAAAACATCTACTAAAGCAAGTGTTAAAAGGCACTTGTGAAGCTATATTGTGGAATATATTCATTTTAATATGGGGGTTCACAAGACATGTAGTGATCTGCACCACTAGAGCTGTGTCTAAGCCTTGGACCACTATATATTTTATGAGAACTCCTTTCTGGTGGTGTTTTCTGACTCTCCTCACCTTCCAACACTGGGTGTCTTCATAAGAATGCCAACTGGGATATGCTGAGTGGACGAAGCTCTGCACATATCCCAGCCCAGGCTGGCTAAATGAGTAGCATGCTACATCAACAATTTTAGCATTTATTTCCCTACACAAATAGGCAAAAGTGCATTTTCATTTCGTCAGCAAGTTTCTAAATCTGTGGTCAGAGGGTGCTTTTCCTTTAGTGCCAGTTGAGAGCTGGAAGGTTTGGGGATAGCCACTAGAACCTGTTTTAGTCCTGGAAGTTGCTCTGAAGGTATTTTAGGACCCTGTGCAGATTGTGTTTCGGGTGCGGTTTTAGATTCTAGGGCTGTCTGGATGGAGCAGCTGCTGAGGATTCCACTGTCGTGTTAAAGTGCCGACCTTCAGATACTGTTTTCTAATGGGAGGCGTGGAGTGGGGGGTCGGACATCAGCTGGGTGAAAGAAGAGATTGCGTGGCTTGGAGTGAACTGCAACATTTGCTTCTGTGCATGTGCATGTGCCTGTGCCTGTGAGAGCTTCAACCAGATAATAATGTAAAACGTGGTTTTCTCTCTACTCTCTCTGGACAGCAGAAGCCTCATAGATGGATAGCTTACTCAACTTAAGCAGTTTAAGAAAGGATTCGTTTGTTACTGTTTGGCAGTGGCACAGCATAGTTTTAGGTATGTGTGAACAATGCACAGAACATTAAGTTAACCTGTTTTTCAGTGGTAAAAGGAATATCAAGTATTCCAGAGTGGCTTCACACTGAGCTCTGAAGTTCAGATCTGTTGTCAACAGCTCGTCATGCTATTAACACACTAGGGCTCAGACTTGGGAAATGCCAGTGTACGAAGTTGACCAGAGTCTGGCTTTGGGTGAACAGCACCTCCTGTAAAACCCAGAGAGGCTGTAAACTTGCAGTGACATCAGACAGAGATGCACTTGTGCTCTGGTCGGCGCTAGCCCTCCTTTCAGCCACTGTGCAGCTTGCAGGGTGTCGGAAAATGAAAGGTCTGATGTGTGGGTGAGATCAGGACTGAGCTTGCCTTTCTCATGGCCCTGAGCCACACAGCTGCTGCTACTGTCAGCTGAAGTGTGAAGGAACAATCTGAGATTCGCATTTACAGTAGGTGGACATACAGTGTTAAAAACAACAGAAGTGTCAAAAAAAAGGATTGCTGCGAGGAGGGCTGGAGGGTCGGTTCATTAGGACACCCGTTCCTTGTCAGGCTGCACAACACATTCATCGTGACCCCAGCTCCAGAGTCCGTTTTGATGCCGGTGGCATCGGAAAGATGTGTTGGGTGGGACTTTTTTCAAAGTCAAAAAGTTCCTGTCACGCTCCTTTCAGTGCCGCTGCTGAATAATTTCATGCACCACTCTTCTATCTTGAGCTAACAAACTAGAAAGGCTAGAAGTTTCCTGCTTTTACTACACCTTCAAGGCATTTTGTCTGTATTACTTTCCCTGTGGTGATGTACTGGAAACATAACAGATGAGATTTATTTGAAGTGAGAACTAGCCTTTCACTGTAGCGTGGCTTAGTTAGGTTTTATTTTTAGTTTGATTTAGATATTAGCTGTGAAACAGGCATAACTAAAATATTCATATCTAATATGAATACAAAAACTCTCCAGTTTTATCACATGCCTGAATTGAAGGACCTTCTCTTTCCAAAGACTGGAATTTTTACTCATGAAACATTGAAAGCACACCAGGGTTCAGTCCAGAGAAACATGTAATGGTACTAAGTTTCTTTTTGATTCTAAGATTCCATTTCCTTGTTGCGAAAGAATTACTCTGAACTGTTTTTGACATCAATCCCTTTGGTTTTCCCTTTAAAGACATACACATTGTCAGGATAAACCAATAACCTTCCTTTTGATATTGCCTTTGAAATAGATTCACATAGTCGTATTTGGTTTTGAGTGAGACATTTCATCATTTCAGTCATGTGCACAGAAGGAAATAAAGAGCAAGTGGAACTAGGAAAAAAAGGTTGCTAACAATACCTGACATTTTGGATCTTTTTAAATGACAAACACAGTGCAGAGTATACTTCTTTGCAAGAAGCATTACCAGCCCGTACTGTGAACTTGTCAGATCACGGTAGCCAAACAAGGCTGGGCCTGTTCAGTATGGGGATGGGAGAGCTCTAGACCATGTGTTAGGAAAAAGAAGTGGTAAGTGTTGCTGGAGAACCAATAGGTGGTGCTCTTTCCTACAGACAAATTGTGCACAAAGCAATGTGTCATTATGCTAACCAGGGACAGTGGCTTTGTTTGTAAAAGTACAGATGTTAACCCCCCCACATCCAGGATAAAGTCCACACTGGGCTTGGACAATTTGGCCTGTCTAATCTCTCCTGTAAACTGAAGGAAGTGCTCATTCCACCACCCTGTGATGTGCCACCTAAAGCTAAAGCATTCTGGGATCCTTTGGGATAATGGAATGATCCAAAATTAATATATATCCTCTTTCCACACTAATTATTTAAAAATCAGTTCAAGATGGCACATTTAGCTCATTTTCCTTGCAACAATATCTTCACGGGAATGACGTAGTGTTCAACACATTGTAAACCAAGTGATTAAAAAATAATCAACTGAACAAAGATGGCCAAAAGGGAATTTAAGTCATTTTTAATACCTTATCTTTTCATTAGCCAAATAATTGCACTGAGACCAGATTCACCTTTGCAATGAGGAGAGTTCCCACTTATACAGTATTTATTGGAGCCATTCCAGTGAAGTACCCTTGGTCAACAGCAGCTTCCAACCCACAGTCTGAATCCACGACCCTCTGAAACTCAGAACCCATGCAGCTGCCCCATGGCAGGTCATACTCCCTGTCTTGTTCAAAAATGAAAACCTCTCAGGTGTCTGTTGCTTGTGCCTGCAATTGGTGCATAACTGCTAACAATAGAGAAGGAACTGACTTGACTCACCCTGCCTTACTAGTACAGATTTTTTAAAATAAAAGTTATCTGTGAATTACGTTATGAAAAATTGCATTTGAGAGAGAGGGTGAGAGGGAACACCCTATGTTGTCAATTTCAGAGAGGAGAAAATAAAAGCTTAATTGTTTGTGTTTTGCCTGCTGCAGGGGACAGGCGGCCTGGAAGTCTTTCAAACCTTTTTCAAAGAGGAAGAGCCCCACTGGCTCCTACAGAAACCCCCGAGCTCTGAAACGGGCCCGGCGCTCAGAGAAACGGATTTTAAGGCGGAAATTCCGATTCACAGAATTCTGCTTTCACGAAGAGACAGAACAGGAGCAACGCCCTGCACATCTCTTTTCTGGGGCACTTGCATGACCGCATCAACGCAGAAAACCCACCTGGACTTTCCACTCACCAAAAGACGAATGTTTTTTCATTGTGACTTATTGTGAAGCACAGTGACTGCTCAGTATTACTGACAGCCTTATGTTACCATATAAAGTTTGGGGTCATTATGTTTCCCAGGGTCTATTGCTGAATCTTCACAAAATGTCAATTTTGATACTTGAATAGCACCAGCCAAATAATATCCAAAGCGCTGTGGGTGTTGGAAAGTGGAGCCATATGCCTTAGGGAAGATTAGGATGCAACTAGTTTACAACTAAAAAGAACAGAAGAAGATGGGCAAAATCCCTGGCACTCTCCAAATCCTGCATGGGCCAAGCTTTTCAGGGTTCAGACTGAATGATTTTCACTGGAAACACCACAAACTACATGTATTCTTCAGATTGCACAAATCACACAGTTTGACAAGTATACTTGGGTATAATGATGAACAGAGTGAAGCAACTGCCATCACTTCCAAAGCATAGTGCCACATTTAAGATTTTAGTGAACACACTGTAAATGTGTGGGCTACAGCACTCATAAAGTCATGTAATAGAATCTGATATCTGAAAGATTTAAGTCTAAAAGGAGCAAATTAACACTAATGTTCCTGAATGTTTAATGAAATGGGAAAGAGGCTGATTCTGAGGTTTATTTTCCTTTCTAGAGCACTGACACAGATGACACATTGGATTAAATGTTTTTCTAAACCCCTGTATGTTTGTGCTATGTATATTTAAAATATACAGTCCAAATAAAGACCTGTATACAAGGACACGATACTGGAAATGTTTTATAACACAACAAATATATTTGTACCAAAAATAATTAAAATGAAGTGACCGATATATACCGTTATCTTCTTTCAACATTGTACACAAGGATAAAAAAGTTACAAAAATAAAACAATTAGACTCTGCATTTCACTTTGCAGTAACTGAAACAAAAGCATTACAGCTAGGGCACAGAAATTGGAATAATGAACCAGAAGAGGAATATTTTTTTAAATTACTTTCAATAATTAAAATGATGTTTCCTTGTTTCTCAATGTCATTCAGTCTCTGTCTATAACATTGTCGTTAACGTTTTGGCAGTCTGCTGCTGAATGCTAAAAACTAACTTATAGTTAGTTAATTAGTTAATGTAGTTAATGTTACAGATTTAACGTTATTGTAGCTATATTTGTTTGAGAGCTAGGAAATGGTTATGGACAAGGTGAAATATTTATCCAGATAGCGTGAAGATCAAAAACAGTTTACTGTACATAAAACTTACTGAGCATCTAAACCAACCACTGTATGCATGCTTGTTTTAAGAAAAATAAAGTGTATACATTTTGCATATAGAATTGTTTTGGTGTCATTTTGATTAATTGATCACTCACGACTAGTGATGCACCCTAGAGATTTGGACACGAATAAGTACTGAAATCACTTCAGGTACAGGTGACGAGGTCATTTACCCTGGTGAATATCAAGGCTGGTGAAAATCTAAAAAGAACAAAAATGAACCAACATGGTTCACTTGCCCAATGAAAAAAGCTTTTGTGTCATCGGTGTGTTGAGGGCAACACCTCAGACGGACTCGCCAGCAGTGGAGCAAACCTCTCTTTCGCGATGATCGTGGTTTCGTGTAGCCTGCTGGACATCAGGCAGCATGGTGTGTCCAGTGCAGGGCGATGCTCCATGTGACGGGGAGGCCCAAGGAGCACCCCTCCACCCGTAGTCATTCGGGGGAACCTGACTGCATGGTCAAGCCCCGAGACCTCCCGATTCCCGACACTCCAGGAAGACGATGCACATCCTCGCGCTGCTCGTGTCGTGGCGTGCTGTCAGAGGCGGTCTTCAGATGGGAGAACGGGACAGCAGGCTCCTCTTTTCACCAGGCCTGAGCCCTGCTGAACACCTCCGGGATGAGGTGCAGCAGTAGGGGTCAGAGACCAGTCAACAGGCACAAGTTTGTCCACGGTCTACAAAAGGAACGGGACAGAATCCTACATCTGCAAAGAACATGTTGCAGATGTGCAGCGTGTACTGCTTTCAATGGTGGCCTCATATACAACTAGCCTGCTACTTTGACTGTAGACATTCTTTTAATCCACCCAGTTAACGACAAACGTTAATCAGTGTCATGAATCAGCACATGACTGTTCATGGGACACGTTTCTTTTGCTGCTCAGTACATACATATCTACAACTGTATTAGGCTCCAGCTTTACTCTATATGAGGGGGACATGCAAGTCATTCTACGTGACATTACTCCTGCTCCATACAAGACATCTTCTGAACACTCTACCTCCCAAAAGCCAACCAAACTGCAATGAAAAAACAAACACTAAAATCTGCTGATTGTACAGCTGTTAACCATCTTCACTTTGCCAAGCCTAAATGAATTCCCGTGCAAAATTAGCTTGACGAAGGTGACAGGGCAGCAGGCTCAGAGATGGCAGTCCTGGTTGGAACAAGCTGTGGATAAGGACCTGCTGTCCTCCCTAAACCTGGCCAAAGTAGTCAAAGGCGACATTTAAGACCTTTTAAAACCAGGAAGCTGCTGCTGGTTAAAACAGGAGGCATCACCTTCTGCAAGCAAGGGAGTAAGTGGGGCCTCCGTTCTAAACTTCTCCAGAGGGAGAAGAAAGCAGCTGCCTGACGATGCAAGTGTTTTGAAGAGTTGCATGAAAGAAAGCCCACCCCAACTGTCTTTAAAATAATCATGAGATGGATGCATCTCGCCATAAACACCATCATCCTTCCACACGGGATGCCAGCAGTAAGGGAACTCTCGTCTATGTAAGATTACGGTTCAGCCGAAAACGTTTGTCCTGATGAAAGCTTGTGTTTGCCGAGAGGCTGACAAGAATTAAACTGTTTTGCAGTAGAAAGAACATAGGCCTAAATTGATTCTGTGATTGCCATCAAGGTCTTGAAATTGTCAGGACAATACAGGGCTCTGTCGTGGTTGCTCAACCGGTTATGGTGCAAAGGTACAGCTATGCACAAAGATCTGTGGATATGCAAATGTTAACTCAACTTTTTTACAAAATACAATCACATTTTGACCATGTGATCGTATGAGGATAGGTAATATTGAAATTATAAATACTGGCCACTTTCTCCTTTTTATGACTGTATTCAAGAATAGAAAAATGTTATATTACTGAATGTGATTTTTTTCTCCAAAATGAACAGGCTTAATTTCTCTGTAGCTATTCATACCATTCATTTCCAGATAGCACTGTAACAGTTACTGTGTTTCATTCTAACGCACATATATTTATTTATTCATTTACTTCCAGTCCTGGGTCTGAAAAGCCACATTGTTACATGTCTCATCCGCATGTGCTCAGCTGAACCAAAAGTTTAACTCGTCTACACCAATATGACCTTTAGCCAATCACCAATCTGAAGGTCTGAAACTCCCCCGGATCAGGGTTAAAACCACAATATTGTTTGCTTTTGTAAGCATGGGTAGTCAATACAGAAGTACATCAATATCACAGAATCATAGTTAACTACTCACAGTTTGTACATCATCAGTCATTAAAGGACAACCCTGACAATCTGTGTGTATTGTTGGCTATCGGTATAACAAATTCCTTAAAAATGCTTTAAGGAATAATTTACATTTTCGAACCACTTTCCTGAAGTTAGTTCTACTGACAATGACGGTTGTACATCTGTTTGGAAGATGAGCTGCACGAAGAAACCTGTGTGGGTGAGCTTTTTGAAGTGGGAAAGCCGTTACACTGGGGCAGTCCCACTCTCTCGACCTCAGAAGCCTGGGTCCAGTGCTACGAGTAGTCGTCACGACTGGAGACTCACTTGGTTGCAGTTGGTGGCCATGACACCTTTCTGTGCCTTGTCATGCCCTTTACGGAGCGTTGCAAGAGTACAGTGTCCCATCACTGTACTGGGGTATTAGGACCCACACAGACCGCGGGGTGAGCGCCCCCTGCTGGCCCCACTAACACTTCTTCCAGCATCAACCTTAGCTTTCCCAGGAGGTCTCCCATCCAGGTACTGACCAGGCTCACACCTGCTGAGCTGCAGTGAGTTGCCAGTTGGGAGCTGCAGGGTGATACGGCCGCCAGTTAGTCCTACTAGTTCCTAGTTTAAAGGTCAAGTACCTTCAAAAACACGTATCACCTTGAAATCCCAATTTCCAATAAACCAAACAAAGGTTCAATGGAGTGTAAAAACTGAAGAGTTCCCCTGGACCACACTAGTGAAAGGAGCCCCCTGCCCTGCTGGGGGTGGTAGAGAACCTCAGCGCTCTCTCTTCAGCACCACTGCTCGACGTCATTCCTACCCAACCTTCGACTACTAGCATTGTATGAAACAGTCATGCAAACTTTTACTTGGAAACAGAACTGATTAAAGGCAAAGGGCACGGTAAAAATAAAAAGAGGAACAGACGTACTGTAAGTCTACATAAGAAATCTGGGGGATGACGTGAATGCAACTGATGCACCTGGTGAAGGGAAGAAAACAAATAATCTATTAAGGATCCTCACGCTTTCTTTTTATTTGTTCCTCCGAAATGAAACACAGAGCTATCAAAACAGTCATTTGCACTCGATTGCATAATTTAAATAAGCTGAAGACTAAGACTAGCAAACCTACAGTAGTACCAGGAAATGAACACCTAGGATAAATATGTAATTCAAATTTAAGATGAAATAAAACAGATAGCTGTAAGCAGCTGAGATACAGAAGCCTCTGGACTCGTCTCAATTGAAGTGCTTTACACACACCATTAATACCAGATTTCACACACTACCTAATGAATAGTGCACTTAACTGTAAAATAAAGGTTTGAAGAGATCATACAGAGATTGGGGTCAAGTAACAAACTTATGTTTATGGTATTACTAACGATTTAAGACACTTGGTGCATCAAAGTTTAATTATTAAACAGCTCACAGGTTGGACATATGTCAACAATGCCAATAGTACATAATGGCACTGAAGGTACATTTTTAGACCGATAATGCTCACTCACTTAAGATGTGGTCAAGGTTATTTGAGAGAAAATTAAACTCTTCTACACCGATAGAACTCCTTGGGAGAAATAAATCGGCCTTCAACAATGGGTAAAACGGCACAGTTCAGGCAAGCACAAGTCAGGAAAATATTACAGATGCCAATGTTTAACTGACAAATTAACAAAAGTATAAATCTGCCTTAAAATCCAGTACCATTTCTGCAAAGAAAAAATGCCGACCACATTTTTTCTTGCTCCCAGCATATCACTGGACAATTCATTTTCATCTCAATTGAAGTAGGTGACTCAAAGCAATTTATACTGAAGAAATGTACTCAATAACTTGTTGAAATGTGAAAATCAGATTAAATTTGTGCATACATTGCCTATGCAATGGATCATGATTATCCCCAGGCCTCAGAAATAATTTACTCTGGACTTGACAGGAAACACCTGATACTCTGAGTAATCGTCGGTACTGAAAATTACACTGCCTCTATAAACCAAGTCATGCACCACAGCACAGCTATTATTCAGTTAAGGTACAGAACTTGTAAAAATATACTTTTTGCCATTAGAATAATTGTTAATATATGGGCCATAACGTAGCTTTGCACTACACAGATCAGCTAAATTCAGTGTATGGGGCCAATGAAACAGGGAACCTGGAGAGTAACTTCTTTCTGGTGGTACTTAAACACTGTGACACATGAAAAACACATTACACAGGATTACCTTCTTGCTTTCTTGAATGGCAGGATTTATTTAAAAGCCGATACCGTATGTTATTGCAATATTCGTATAACTGTAATGTAAGGAACCTACAGAAGTCTCAACCTTTCAAATTAAATAAGATGAATTCTGCTTTTACGATCTGCGAATCACTTTTAAACTTGTACAAAGTAATAAAAGATGCATCACTGTAACTGGATCTTAATACAAACTTTTACCAAAATAATTTTTCTTTGTAAAGAGAAATAATTAGAAAGAAGGTACATGCATGATTGCCGTGCAAAAGGTTTAAAAAACCTTCCATTTAAGTCTTTGAAAGTAAATCTTCTCCACACACCTGTTCCTGTAATATACATGAGTGTTTGCAGACACCAAGGCCCCTTGCCTGAGTTCAATACAATTTTGATAATAATGGCTGTTTCATCTGTTCCTTCTTCCCCATGCAGCATCAGTGGGCTTTATCGGTGTCTTGATTCAGTCCATGCTTCTCAATGTAACGTCTAGTAAAAAACAAATGAAAACCTGATTAAGGACTGCGTTCTAGGTTTTCAAATCATTTTATTTCAATACTCGGCCACTGCAATTAAAAGTCGCCCAAAGGAAGTAGAAAGGATCCCAAGGAGGAGGAGAGGCGACGTTTCGCAGATGGTTGCAATTATGGACAGATGAGTGATAGTTTAAAACGGCGAGAAGGTAACAGCATCTGATTCAAACAATGTCAGGTTTTTGCAAGGAAATTATATTTCTAAAAAAAAAAAGTCTTATGTGAAGTGCGCAGTCGAACTTAATGATTTAATCTCAACTAAGATGGCAGATTCCTAACCATCCATCCATTTTCTTTATAACTGCTTTATCCAACTCAGGGTCGTGGCACAGCTGGAGTCTATCCCAGCAAGCGAGTGGTGCAAGTGAGGATACACCCTGGACGCAACCCCTGTCCACTGCAGGGCACACAGACACTTTCCCAGAAGCCTATTAACCTGCCAGTATACTGTATGTGAACACAACGGTTTCTGAAGAGGTAACTGAACTGTACCCCTACTACTGGCTCAGACTGACATTGATTTTTCTCACACTGTTTGTCTGAATTTTTTTTTTTATTGTCTTATTTAACTTATTGCTGCTGCCGTTCTGTGTTTGTTTTTGATGATGCCTTTAATTTCATTGCAGTTGAGCACATGACAAAACTGAACTGAACAAGGAGAACATACAGACTCCACACAGCTGGCACCCCAGGAATTGAACTCGGGGATCTGGGGCTGCAAGGCAGGAATGCTACCCATTGTGCCACCATACTCCCAAACATTATAGAGAAATAAAAGCGGCACATTAGTGTCCTATAAAACACAGAGGTCGTGATGAAGACTGCTCAGGCTTGAATTTCCAGCCTTCATGCCTCAGACAAGGACGTCTGGTCTGCTTACATGCAGGTTAGAAATTCCAGAGTTACTGATGCTTATCAGTCCTGCGTGCATTTCAGGCCAGATGAGCAAACTCTTCAGTCAGGAACCAGAGCCAAGCTGATCATTTATTCTTTGATTCTACAACTTGCAAACGGTTCCCCCAACCAGAGAAAGCGCAGGCCCCCTCCATCTAGTGAAAGGCATGTCTAAAAAGGGTAGTCTAAATTTACCTTTCCTGTGCTTAAATCCATATCCTATTTTTATCCGGGCCAGAGTCTCTCCGTATTACACCCAATAAAGTTATATAAAACGAACCGGGGTGCATTTGATCAGATGGCTGAGAAAAATCTGCTGTTGAAGAAGCATAACTGTGAAGCAAAAAAGGACTTTCCAGCACTTGCTTAAAATGAAACTCAAGGTGATCTCTACAAACAACTGTTTTGCACCTTGATTACTGTTTTACTGGCTCTATACAGGTGAAACCACCAATATCAGTAAATGACCATTTGGCAGTTAAAATGAATTCATCTCCCATTTTTTAGTCTAGTCTTCCATTTTTACCCGTCTGGCGCAGCCTTTTAAATGTACCTTCTGGCGTAGTCATAGAGGGCCTCTTTTCGTTCCTGCAGAGACATGTGTCTGTCAGCTGGAGATTTCCCAAATGTTTTAGAAGTGGGCTGTCGGAAAATGCAAACAAGCATTAAATGAGAAACCGTGATTAATAATAAAACCTGATGTGTCATACTACAGGCCTAGCTGCAGCACTTTTCTCAAATGTTTCTTATCAGTTAGATGAGATTTTCTTTAAAAAAACCTTTACGAATGTCACCGCATGAAGCTTGTGAACCTCCAACACTATGAATTCCAGCTCATCCCTTGGTATTGAAAGCACAACTCTATACTGTGGGCTCTGCTTATAATAACACTCGGACAACTAACAAAAAAAAACCGTCCAGACCTGCTGTAAACCAGTCAAGCCCTTCTGTTTCCCAAATATGCCCCACAAAAGGAAAAAAAGGAGCCATTTGAATTAGGAATATTAGGAACTAAACCATCGATTCCTCCTCACCTTCACAGGCGGCCTGGGAGCTGTGATGCCAGAGACGGGACTCCGGGCGGGCACAGAGCCTGACCCCCCCGCAGAATCTAGAACTAGCTCCTCCGCTCCCTCGAGCAGATTGGTGATCGTGGTGTCCACGCAGTTTGTCCGCCCTGACGGAGCACAGGGAAGCACATTGCAAGAGCACACCACACAGGCAGAATCCATGGTTTGAGCAGGAAGCATTTACGAGACATGAGTTCTAAACAACTGGTATCCAAGGAACAAGGTAAAGTTATCGATAATCAACGCAGCTGGTCAATCCAATCGGTGAAATTCAGGCGTTTTACACATTATTGCCTTGAAAAGATTTTTTTTTTTTTAATACTGAGCTTTACTGTTTTTATTTTGAATGCCTATTTCAAGCATCTATTAACAGGGCGATCAGTCACTGCTTCTTTGTAAACTAGTAGAGATCTTCCACCGGTGTGCAAAATGTATTTTAACACCTCATGATCCATCATAGTGGAGTTTCCCCACACAAGATACTCATATTGCATGTGCCTCTACAGCATACTTAAGGAAAGTCAAATGTTCCGCTATATACATAAGTTCCATGCACTAAAGAGGGGGAGGAATAGGGACACACCTAGGTCTCTCTTGATGATGCTGAATGGGACATCCGGAAGCACTTCTTTCACCTGCTGAATCATCTGGGCCATCCTCACATCCTCCACCCCTGAGTTAGGAGCCATGAAGCTCACGGGACTGGCTCTGGGTCTAGCACCTACAGACTGATCTGTGGAGAACGAGCAGCGTGAGAAGCAGTATGTCTTACACAAACTACCAAGACCGGCGGGATCATGTCTCACTACTTGTGCTTGCCCTTACCCTCAATATGGCAGCACAGTTACACATAAAAGCAGACTGCCACCCACAGCTGAATTGACTCTTAATTGACAATTTGCATACTCCAACCATGCGGTATCCCTTTGGGGACATTAGCACCGGCACCAAATGTCAGAGCTAGTCTTGCATTAAAAAGGCAAGGCCCACAAGCAGATTCCAGATTCTCTCAAAGTGGCCTAATCCCACAGTACATCTTATCGACGTGCTATATACAACTTCTGGATACTTACTTGAATTTGTAGTTTGAGGCGCAACATGCCTTTTCCTCTTAATGAGCTCTGCTTTATCTGACCGTGTGATCTGCGTCGAGGCAATACCTAGCTCCTTAGATAACATCTAGGAAAGAAAAGCACGTTTTTATTAGTTTAAAGAATCTGTTAGTCATTATGCTGCTGTGTACTTTATTTGCTGCTGCACAGTGCACAGGCATTTTACCACTGCAGCGGTCAGCATCTCACAAGGCTGTGAGTTTAAATGTGTAAATGTCATAGAATAACTATGAACACAGACAGCTTTTGAAATAATTTTATGTCCCTACACCGGCCTTTGTGTGATACCAATACCACAGTTGTGTAAAACATTCATCACAACTAAGTCCAAAACTTCCAAAACTAAATGCTTCTCTGCATTTTGTGTAGGCACTTTTTATAGGCAAATTTATCTGACAAGTGTAGGCGTTGCTTTTAAAGACTACTTAGAAAATGGAGGGGTTTTCCAAAAAAATTAGTAATTGAAGCAGTGAAGCATATCCCCAGATCTTACTTAAATGAAGAAATTTGGAATCTGTTCTAACACAAATGTATAGATTTTAAATATAGTCAATCAAAACCTATCTCTGGACCGAATCCCGGAATGTGTTAATAGCTGATCAGCATTACAACTTCAATACTGAAAATGCATGTTATGTTAAAATCTATTATAAAAACTTAGATTGGCTATTATAGCATTCTAATCCACTCTGCTTGCTTGAATATTTTCATGAATATATTATTTTCATCATTATATTATTTTCTTCCATTGCTCTATTTCCTGTTCCACAGCGAAGAGAATATTGGTCAGAATTAGTGTTGAGCTGCAGTTACCTCCTGGACCTTATTAGCAAACTCTTGGTTCGTGTGGCTATCCTGTCGTGGCACCACTGGAAGCCACCTGTGGAAACAGGGGAAAAAAAGCACCAAAAGCGCTGTCAGTTTTATTGTTCTGATGAGTGCACCTACTGCAATTATTATAAAGTGCCATTTTTACTCACTGGCAAGATGCTTCACTACAAATAATCTTTAAACTGGTTAGTTTATTGAAAAGATGTTTGTGCTAGATATGTTCTACTGATTCATTCCAGTTTGGTTGTGTGAATTGTAGGAAATGTCAATGTGTTAAAAGCAATTTAATGTTATGAAACAGAGCTCTATTGTGTGTTTTATCTACTGACAATACTTTGGTGTAAGTCTAAACCACTCCTCAGTAAATGTATAAACAAATCATTTTTAATTTCTAATAGGAATTTAATTCCTATATATAATATAGGAATCATATAACTATTTCTCAATTACTACAGCAACATCAAGGAACAATAAAGGTTTAATTCTAAAAACATTTTTCAAATTGCTGTATGAGAAGTTAGGACTTTTTACACACTTGAAAAGCAGTATTTTAATTACAAGCATTAAGTAATCACATAAACACTACTTGCTGCCAAACAAGGACATGTTAGGTGTACCAATTTAATTGCCCACTACGCGTCACCCCACCAGCAAGAGACAGTAATAGATACTACCTTACTTGATACACTGTAAACGGGATGAAGAGCGTCCATAACAGCTCAAGAATCCAAGAGGACTCCTCAGTATTCTGCAGATCAATAAAGGTATCAAACTGTGTTAGCACATCACTGTATTTTGTAACCCTGTGCTAAAACATCTATTTTTACTACACACCCCAACCTCCACCCCCACTCTTAATCTTTATCTTAATCACACTGCAGTGTTAGCATCTAAACGTTAATTTGAAAACTCAAGATGAAGAGGTAAATCCATCAAAGCTCTGAAGAAGAGAAACCACTAATTTAAATAAAGACAGAAATATTAGCACCATGTCTCACAACAAAGAAGAAGAAGGAAAACAACTGCATTTACTGCCTCACATACAACAGGATCACAAATTCTAACCTAGACAATCCTGACTACAACGGGATAAAAAGAAACCATATGAATGTGCGGAACAAGAGCACAGAACAGAACAATCTCCGAATTCACAGAGGACATCAGAATGGGTCTTAGGTCCTTGTCTATTAGACGTTAATAATCTGGAATTCTTCAAGATCATAAAAATAAGCATTTACAGAATGAGTTAAAATTACCGCTGGTATGAACGGCCTCTTCACAATCAAAGCCACAGGCTGGACAGAATCTGTAACAGCGAAAGGCCAGGAGCTGAAACAAGAAGAAAGCACATTAAGCAGCCTGTCCAAGAAAAACTCAGAGGCTGCAGTGTCTTCTGGTGTACTTCCAGCCTGAAACCCTCCCTTAAAGAAGAGATGCCAAATGCTGACTCAATTGAAGATTTTCACACTAAAAAATGCACTTCAATAAGGTAAAAGTAACTTTTTAAATATTGTCAAACATCCTCAGCAACATCTTAAACATGGAGATTTTGATTTACAAAATTTACCTCAAGCACTTGGTAAATGTAACCATCTACATTGGGTCTGGGTGCACTGAAAGGGTAACACTTGGGAGCACTGCTTTAATATTAATGCTCTAAGCATTAATGCTAAATATTAATGCTCGGAGCGGTGGCTCTGTGGCTAAGAATCTGCGCCTGGGGCTGGAAGGTTGCCAGTTCGAATCCCGCGGCCAGCAGAGGAATCCTACTCCGTTGGGCCCCTGAGCAAGGCCCTTCACCCCAACTGCTCCAGGGGCGCTGTACAATGGCTGACCCTGCAGTCTGACCCCCAGCTTCTCTCTCCCTGTCTGTGCGTCTCATGGAGAGCAAGCTGGGGTATGCGAAAAGACAAATGCCTAATACAAGAGATTGTATATGGCCAATAAAGTGATCTTAATCTTACCAGATGATTCACCATCAACAGGAAGGGACATTCACCTGAATTTGAGGAGGCCTGTCCGGCCGTTGGTAGTTTCCTCCTCGGGGAACAGCAGCAGGGGCAGGTTGCCCTCAGTAGTACAGTACTGCTTCAGGCACTCGGCCATTTCTGACCTGCTAGACATCATCCCCAGCTCCATGAACCCACGCGCCCAGCACACGAAACCAGGAGAGCCATCCAACATGGGCTGAACAACCAAAGAAACCAGAATGTTACAATACCTCTGTTTCGATTACCCATGAATACGAGGGTGTGAACAAGTCATTTCAAAAGACGCTGGGGAGAGAATAAAATTATTCATTCTTCTTTATCATAAGGTCATAACACAGTAATATCTTTGCTTCCATAAATAGATAACCACTTTCAGCAAGTGTGACCCAAACGGTCTTACTTTAAGGAGGAAACTGGAACATCTAAGGATGGATTCCCTGTTTCCTGCCTGATGTATAAGCATACTTGTGTATTAAATATACAGAAAAAAAGAGCAGACTTAATTATCATAAAAAACCCAAAGTTTAACTGTCATCTAATGTTACTCTTAAATTGCTCATTTAAATTGGTTATCTACCCAATATCTGGGCACTAAAAAAAAATGTTTTCAACCACTTAAAAAGTAAAAGCAGAGGTCACGTTAACGTTTATCTGCTCGTCTTTAAAACGCAAAAACGAAACCTTTTGCGCCCCCAACCATTAGAATTTGCATACAAGTCTAAAGCAATAACTCTTTGAGAAAGGTCAAATAGTACAATGTGCTGGATTTTGGTTATTTCACGTTTGACTCCAAATTGTTCTCATTTGAATAAGATTTATTTTTAGTTACAGCAATGCTAAGAATTATTTTCTATATTAAAAGGGTGCAATTTACTTGTACTTGCTTATGCTATTGAAAGTAAAATACCCGGCACTAAGTCCCATATAAATTATATAGATTCATTAACATTACTATAAAATCTCTATACATGTAGTCACATTAATGTATAGTATTTTTAAGCACACATTTCTAATACAAAATTTCAATGGTTACCTAAATACAGTGCACCCAGAAGCAAGCATATTAATAAGCAAACATTAACTATTAACTGAAGAAAAGAGCATATAATTGTTTATCCAAAGTATGCCATGTGAACTCTTTCACACAAATTACTTTTATGGTTTATCTGAACACCCTTTTCTGGATTTCAGCCTTTAATACGCAAAAAAGGCAACACCCACACAGTTTCAAATAAAAGGTTGGTTTCCGTTTTGGTTTCTAAATAATTAGGAGTGTTATTTCCAAAACACCAAAGCGGAGGTGCTCCTTCCTTTTGGAGATGTGCTTCCAATGCACTGCAATAACACTGTTAACACTGACAGCTCGGTCACTTTCAAACGTTTTCTCCACAATCGTTTCATATCTGATTTTTTATTTTTACTACAGCTTTGTCATCTAGTTCTTGTAGCAGTGCATTTCTTGTATGGTGTTCTGGCAACTGTCTCGTGTAATTAACATTTCGAATAAAAACAAACTTGATGATATGTCCATTAAAAATAAATCACATATTACTTTTACATTAAAAATACCAACTAATCAAACTGCGTGATGTTTATGATTCTGAAGTTAAAAAACACTCATCCATCTTCACATTTATTAAAGGCTTGCTTGCATTTTAGACTGCAGGTGTTCATTAAGTCTAGTGGCATATTTGCGTAACGTTAATGGTAATTTAACAGTATTTAAAGAGCATCAATAAATTTCCATAATGCATCTGCGATCGAGGGTACACTGCTGGGGTTTTTGCGAGTAAGCATTCTTTCCTTTCACAATTAATGCTGCAGGTTCATGCATCCTGCCAATCTGACCTCAGTGCAACTCAGCTTGAGCTGGGATACTGGGGGAAGTTTTCAATGTCCTCGGCACACAATGATATACAAAGCAGCAAGTCTTTAAAACTGCACAAGGAAAGGTTTCCCCACCAAATTATCCCTTTTTGGTGTTTATTGGATAAATGTACACCTATTCTATTTAGAAATTCTTCAGGGATGTTTCCGTTTAAAAAATGAAAATCAAAAGCCCTCATGCCATTCAAAATTAAAAACAAGCCCGAAACGTTACATTTAACACCAGCTATGCCTTTTCTTCTTCTCTGGATTTTAAATTCAAATATACAAAACAAGCGCTCATTCAAATTTAAAACCTGCGCCAGCCGTGAATACTTCAGTATTCAGTCCTGATGCAAGAAGCTAGCATGATGGGGGGTATGTTTGTAAGAGTTAAAAACCAATGCAAAATTACTGCACGATCTGTCACCAGAAGCAGAGATCGACGTGGCAGATCTCCCTCATGAGGATAATCGACCGCACTTGCTTGCTTCCCAACAAACCCTCCTCAATTCTGTCACTTTCAACAGCGGCAAAAAACTTCCTTGTGCTCATGTTACAGAACAGGTTTGCTGCAGCAGGATCACGAATGGAGATCGAAGGGGAACTGCAACGCCATTTTTGTATTTCAGGATTAGAAAAAAAAATCAGCAATTGAAACGATAATATTGAATTCTGGCAAACTAAATCTATTCTGGAACTGAAACAGTTTAGTTTCTCTCTTCTTTATTAGTACAACAGACATCATTAAAACACAAAGGTGCTGCACGAGACAGGAGTCAACATCATGGAGAAGCCTGGATAAGGGCATCAGCCAAGCAAAGAACACAAGGCTCTAACGGCGTTCAGCTTAGAACCGAAAACTTGGTTGTACTTATTTTAAAAGGACAGAATGCACTATTCACAACCAGAATTACAACATAATTAAGATGAAGATAAATTAAATATAACATAGTAGGCACTTAAGTTACTTCTGCACTTCAACAGATTAAACGGTGAAAGGAAGCACGCCCACGTGTGTAGTGGATACAGTGAATCTAAACCTCCAATCTTTTTTTGTACCCTGGTAGCTGTAAGTGACATTTCTTCAGTGAGACCTCAGCAACATGTTTAGCATTACAGTATCCCAGATTCCTATTATTAAACCTCAACAGGAAATATTTTAAGAAAAAACTCCCAGTGCACCATTTAACAAAGAGGTCTTTGCCCTAATATCAAAAGACATCATAAATTATACTTAATAAAAGGTCTAGTTCATCTTCTTAGGCAGTTTACTGCCTAACTACTGAAGATGATGATGAAATTTGAGTCATTTTGATTCGAAATGTCATCTGGAAAATGTGCCTAACATTCAGACTTCCGTTCTTGGTTAGATCTGGTGATTGCATCGTTGACTGCTGGCCAATGAAAGAGACGTTACTTTATTTTTCCAACGTTAAAATGTCAAAGGAGGACAAACGGTCAACCAGCAAAGGCTGAAAGCAGGTTGAGCCCCACAGTCCAGACTCTGCCTTCAAAACCCCAGAGACTCAATCAGCCACTCAGGTTGTGAGCAGCAAAGTCACATTTCATTCCAGATTTTTTATTCTAGTCAATATTAACCAAACACAAGCCCTTTCATACAAATTACAATTTAGAAACTATCTATAAACCTTCGTATGCTTTGCTGTTGTTGCTTGTTATGGGGCATACGTCCCTTTTAGGATTTTTAATCTGTTTTAGCGGCTAGACAGGAGGTTCAGGGTTTAAGTGGCCAATCTGAAATGAAATCGGGACAGAAGCCAGCGTGCAAGTTGTGCGCATGTATTTGCTTGTGGGAGCGACTGTACTCAGCTGCACCTGCTGGTGCTTAAAGTTTCCTTTTCAATACGCTGAAGGAGACACCTGATGTATGGGGGAGATCTCCCAGGGACGACTGGCAGTAGAGATAAGAGCAGTCTCTCGGTTGAGAAGGCCGGAAGAGACTGGTTGCAACCAGTTTAGTTAGGCAAGAGGGGTGAGGGGAGATGCATGGTAAAGTTCTCCTGTGGGTATTTTCTAGTCACCATCAGAGAAACACACTCTGAGATATTGGATAAATTTTTCAGCTTCCCCTTAAAAGACAGTCAGGAGCCCATCTCGGGAGTTAAAAGAAGTATTTATCCATGTGCATGGGAGAGAAAAAACATGGAGATGCTCTGTGTATTTTTCTCAATGTGCTTAAACTAGAAAAGTCATTTTATACTTTGTGTTATCTATCATGCTTCCCCCTGCTTAGCAGATTAGTAGCATTCCAGGATCACACTCATCTTCCTATTTGCAAACTTCTTTTCACACAACTGGCTATGTAGTTGCCTAGCACATGTCTCTATAATACACAGCCTGGAATAACATTACAGCCCTCGTGTCCCAGCACTCTTCCACTCCAGTTCAAACCAGTTCTGCATGGCCATCCTAAAAAATACTGCAGCGTCAGCAGAAAAATATGTAGATAGCTCACAAAGACCCTCTCAACAGAGAAGATGTGATCCATATGGTTATGGAAAGGAAGGAGTATGGTTCACTGGGTGAACTCCACAGGAGAAAGGTTCTGGGTCTTGGCCTAATGGTTAACATGGCGTTGTGCTGGCTGCTGCCAGGTTGGGTGGTCAGGAACTCCCATCAGCCACTTGAACAGAGTGGGAGAAGAGCAGAGCAGCAAGCCAGACTGGGGAAAGGGACTGTGTAACAGTAAATCATCCCTGGAGAAAGTGGGATCAGCCAGGAAGGGCTGTCTACAGATGAGGATAATCAGTTTCAAGGGCTGCTGGTTTAAGAAGAAGCAGGGAGAGAAGAGAGGAAGCACAGGAGTTTCAAGGTCGGGTTCGTGGGACTTTCAGACCCAGAGGGAGACTACCGGCGTGGTGCAATTGTGCTAAATGTGACAGAGGCAGCCACAAGGGATCTCTTCAGCATAAGTAAATGCATCAGAAATGTCATTTCTACACAACGGTTGAACGCCTTCACCCTCCATGTGTCATACAATAAAGCAGAAGAAGCATCGCTACACTTACCGTGTTGCAGGATGTTAGGAGGTTGATGATGTTGTGGTCAAACTGTGTCACATGATTAGAGATGTACAATTTCACATTTCTGTCCCTCAGACGAGGGTTGCTCTGTTTCACACACATACCCAGAACTGAGCACATGACACGCACAATAAATCTGAAAAAGAATCATTCAATAAGACTGATTAAGAAGTGATATGAAAAAAAATGCAACAGACAGAGCAAACACATTTTTGCACAACTGAAGTGTATCCACAAAATCTAACTCACAGTCTCGCACATACAAACAGTGGACTTGTTTTGGTGTTTAATTAAGAACACTTGTGTGCTGTTGAGTCACTCCTAGGACAGTCTGTCTGCAGCACTTTCCCCTTACAGAGTGGGCAAAAAAGCTGGCTTGCCATTTTCATTTTACTGAAGCTTTGATATTTTAAACAGCCAATATGGCTGGGAGATCTGTTGAATCAGTAGAAGCATTTCTATCTTTGATTAACATGAAAAAAACAACTAAACACGACATTTGTAATGTCGATAAAATCTACTACTTATCCTCTGGATGCAAAACCAACTAGATTTTTTGAGTGCTGTGTTCAGCAGTCTGTGCAATGATGGACGTCTCAAGTTTACAATTAAATCGAGAGGTTATTCTAATTGGCTCACAGCAACAACTAAAAAACTGACAAAGCTAGACTTGATCTCAGCTGTTAAATCCAAAGTGACAAATCTGGAAGTCATCTTTGCTTCTGAACAATGCTTTGAATTTCACATTAAATATCACGAAAGTTTCTATCATCTGCACAATTTTGCTAATAATAGGTGATTTGACGGTATTGAAAAAATTTAATTTCAAGCTATTCCATGTAGCCAATACAGAATGCAGAGGCTAGACTGGTAGTATTTGTTATTGATACACAGTTGACAAACAATTTTATAATTCTCTTGCTAGTACAGTTGAATGCCTTGGTTCCTAATTAAATGCAATTCTTGATTTTATCAGACCAAATGTACTTGAAGATCTATTTATCTTATTTATTTTGTATTCTAAGGATAAATCACATCAGGAAGAGAGATGCCACCTTTCGTTAGAATTAGCCTAGACAGTGAAACTCTTTAATCCCTTTCTTCAGAGCTTCAACAAATCATGTCTGCAAATATTTTTTATGCTACAGCCATTTTGTACTGAATGATTTGAAGACAGCAGTGAGGACCAGTAAGGCAGGAATGTGGAGTAGCATTTAGGGATCTGGTCTTGTCACTGGTAGGATGTGGGCTGAAATTCTAGGAGAGACACTGCTATTACACCTTTGAGAAAGGTACTTCAATCCAAATCCAAATTAAGTAACCCTAAAGTTTTATTTGATTTTCAATTGTTGTCTAAATTTTCTGTTTTATTACACTTTTTCTACATTAATTTACAGTGATTATTGTTTGAAGATGCATTTAAGAAACTCAAATCTTAAAAAAATAAAATTAAAATCTTACAATCATTAAATTAAATACATTTAATTTCAATTAATTAGTACATTTAGTATAACTTAAACTGACTTGATATTTATATTGTTAAAAAAAGTAGTCTTGGACTCTCTTAGATATGGAGCTGTAACACATTGCTGATAGACTCAAAAACACAAACAGTAGGAACAGGTCACACATCAAAAGATCCTATCATTTTTTGCATCTTTCTTTACCACACTGCCTGCATTATTTCACAAGTGAGTGATAAAGAGGTGAAAGAAAGCTGTAAACACAGCAATTAAGTTTGGACATACTGAGCAATTCAATGTTACACAACACAGTCAGGTCTGAGATGTCAGAATGTGAGAAAGTGTTGTATTGATTAAATCTTCCTGAAAGAGATGTGGAATCACCATCTATTAGAAAAAAGATGTACTGCTTTAAAAGAAAGATTAAAACCAGTAGGTTGTTAAGGACAATGTTAACTCTACTGAGTGATACAGGTATAAAAAATAATAAATCAGAATTTCTTTACAGTGAAGTCTGATATAAAAATTTGCCACTTTTACTTTTTTGAGAACCGGTCATGAATTATTAATAAAAAACTCTCCCCTCTTTCAATAAAAACACTCATTGCAAATTAATGTCTTAGTCCATATTTAATGTAATATGTTAGTAATGCAAGTGAATTTGTCTGATCAAAGATGGAACAGTTACAGTAAAGTGAAACTGAAGTCACTATGATATGGAGAGGGAAATTTGACAAAAACAAATAAACCCTTGAAGAGAAAAGTAAAATCACACGAGACACTGTGACGTCAGTTCAACCTTGCTTATCGAATCTTCAGTTAAGATTTGGATGATTCATCCTTGAAATAATACTAGCTAAAGCCAAGAATGTAAATGAAAAAAGCTTTATTAAACCAAAAAGAACTTAAGTTAATAATAAAACCCTCAGAAAGCACAGAAAAAGGAAACTTAAAGAACCTGGCAAAAGCTTTTTATCCACTCATTTCAGATGACAATCGAGAAATTCCTTTGAGTGAAAAAACTGACTGTCACAAAATTGAGCAACTACTATGCAAGAGTCTTATATCTGTTAGCTTAAAAAAATTACTTCAAGCCTCCACTAATGCTTTCTTCAACTGTGACTGTCATTAGTTCGGATGAGAAGGAAATGAGCTTGACATTCAGCGGTGGTCAATTCACACTGATCAGAAACTTTATATGTGTGATCACAACCCAAAGTAAACTAAATCAATTCAAGAGCTTCAGTGGAGAGGAAACAGGTAGAGAATAATATACCAACAAAGAACTCAGTCCACCCACAAATGACAGATTACAAATCTAACTATCAGTAACATCTCTGCATGAGAAATAAGCAGTCACTGAAAGTAGCGGGTGTCCAGAGACTGAATTTAATTGGGACTGTGGACTGGCTATCAGCAGTGCAGAACCGAAACCTGGTTGTTTCCAGCCAGGGAGCTATAGGATGTCTTTTCGCCAAACTGCACTCCTGTTCTGTTTCTTTCTTCTGGGTTGGCAAGGTCAACGAAAGGCAGCCATCTGCTATGAATTTAGGTAAATAACTGAAGGAATACAAAAGACAGAGCTACGCTTTGGAAACAAAAATAATGAAAACAGCCCTTAAAAGTTCAGTTCATACAATGCACAGAGCACCAAAGAAAAGCTTTCTCCCTCAAAATATAGGACCCATAAAATACAATGACAAAGTATTATGGCACTAGCACCTACAGAATAAAATGTATCTATCTCGGCCAAAGATACGTAGGCCAAGACTGTCATTCTTGAATAATCTCACTCAAGTATTTTGTGCCCCACACACAATTTAGTTCCCACAGAAGGCAGATTGTCCCTGATAAGAAAAATGAGCTGATCCTGTACTGAAGGGCCTTGGGGGGAGGGGTTTGTTATTAAAACCAGTAAACTGAAACTACTTGTAGAAAGCAATACTAACTGATGAAACCTGCCGATGTAAATTGTGGGTGATGATAAGCAGAAATAGGCCATTTTTCCCCAAAGAGATCCTAAGTAATTTTAAAATGAAGCTAACTGGTTATATCATTATTACAGTTTTCATCAGTGCTATCACAGTAATGAACAATTTGTTCTGGGGAAATTTGTCATTACAAAGCAGCTCATGCACTGCACCGACTTAAATCACAAAATGCAAATCTCCTGGCTTCACTCTATAATCACATACAGGAGAACTTCAATCAACCAGAGATCCTGTCAACCACAGCCTGTCATGTGGTTTTCCTACTCTAAATGAAGGCATTATTGTACATTCCTAAATTCTAGTAAGCTTCCCTGGTATACTAAATCCTGTGGATGAGATGCATTTCAAACACTGTGTCTGTCTACATTTATGACTTTTCATACATTTACAGATACTAAAAAATGCTCATGGATGTTAGCCGCGACTTACCACTGATTACAAATGTACTGTATATCATCTTAGATAATCTCGGTTCCAAAATAAACCTGTTTTGCTCTGCATCAGAAAACATTCAAAATCGCCCATTCATATCTTCGTCTTCATATTCACACGCTTCGTCTTGCGTGTGGGTGCACCGTGGGTTTGTACAATAGAAGGGTTTGTACAAAGAAATTCAGATGTCTAGGTGTTCAGCATCAATCTGTACTTACCTTCTGACTAGGCTGTCCGGTAGGGCACAACTCACTAAAAACACGTGCACACCGATAAATATTCTGAGCAGCAGCAAGCACAATCCTACTGGGGCGTACAAAAGAAAAACGAAGAGAAGCAGTCCATCGCGTGGCCACCTGTGTATTGAAATTATTGAAAGATAGAAGTGGTTAGAAGAAAGTTTGAAGCCATTATAATATCACGCGTATAAAATCATCTCCTCTTCGCGAATTAGATTATTTCACTTACGCATGGTCCGACGCTAAACATAAATAGTATTATTTTGTTGCGATTAGACAACACGCTACATTATTTTTAATGAAAACACAACCTCACTCCCATAAATAATTAAGACTCGGTTCCTCATATGCATTGACTCGGTTCTTTGCCTCCGAAATTAGCACAGGCATTACGTCAGTTAAGCCTTATAAAGTAATGTTTCTGGAACATTTCCAAATCGTATGTTCCTATACTGCTGGCACGTAAAGTCACCTCTAATTTAAGAAATAAGACGAGCTTAAGCAAATTCAACTTGACCACACGTTCGGCTTGCTTTGGTATTCCAAAATAAAAGTCGCATTACCTCTGGAAGTCAAACAGCTGTTCAATCCCTGGCGTTGCCATTATTTAATATTTCTGTAAACTGAATCCAGTGATGAAAGTCTAATTCCCCGCATGCTATTTTTATATTTTGTTTAACCTGCTGCTTTACTCTCAAAAGCCATCACCCCCCCTGCTAAAACGAGAGCCATGTTGAAAAAACGTGGCACGTTGTCATTGGTTGAAGGGACGTCACGTGAGGGCATGTACGAGTCGCAGTACAGGACAAACAGTATTTCATCTGAGACGCACCTTCTAACGAGACGCGTAACGACACCAGCCAATCTCTTTTCTGCAGAAAGGATGAGTAATTCTTCAGTGCGTTCATTTTTATGTTTATGGACATACAGAAAATATACAATTTGGTACTCAAATTAGAGAAGCAGGAGAGCAAAGCATTTGATACTTCAGCGAAAGCATAATTATTAACATGATTTTTAAACTAGAGGGGACCTTGTTTTGTGGTTCAATTCAATTCAATTCGAGTGTTATTGTCCCCTAGGGGAAATTTGTTTTACGGCACAGTCAAACACAACACAATGACAATACACATTATCAACAGGGGAGAGAATACAGCAGTGTTACAGGAGAAAGAAATAAGAGACAAGAGACAAGGTAGTTACTTTGCATTGTTTAACACTGTGATTGCAGTGGGGATGAAAGATTTCCTGAGTCTGTTGGTTTTATACCTGTGGGCACAGGTGAATTGTGAATTCACAATGGAGGGGGTGAGACACACACTCCCTGGTGCTTTTGGCTTTCTTAGCCACCCTCTGTTTGTAAAGGATGCTCAAGTTGATTTGATTATTCCCGATTATTTTGCCACTCATATTCACTGATTTGCCAGTCTACTACAGTTATCAGTACTTCTGTTGACAAACCCACAAGTGAAGCAGCATGTTAAGACACTTTCAATGAATGATTTGTAGGAAAGTGTAAGAATAGTTTTATCCACCTTAAAGTACCTGAGTTTCCTAAGAAAGAAGAGTCTCTGTTGGCCTTTTTTATAGATCGTGTCACAACATTTGTCCCATTTTAGGTTTTTGTCAATGACCAGTCCCAAGTACTTATAGTCATTGACAATTTCAACAGGCTGACCATCAATTGTAGTGGGTTGAGGGGGTGTGGTCTTTTTCCTAAAATCAATAACCAGTTCCTTTGTTTTTGAAACATTTAACTTTTGGGAGAACTTGTTGCACCAGTTAGAAAAATCATTTAGAATGGGCCAATGATGGTATTCTGTGCTCTTTAATAAACAGACCAGAGCTGTGTCATCAGCAAACTTAATGAGATGTCTATCTGTGACTGTGCTTATGCAATCATTTGTGTACGAAATTAACAATGCAGGGTTTATTCAGCCTTAGATGCCTTTTGGGTGGAGTTTGAATGTTCTCTATGCTTCCGTGTGGTTTCCGTGTCCATTTCCCAAAGATACACTGACTAGGATAACTGGTGCCTGTAAACCAGAGCTGGTCCCATCCTGATCCCGGAGTCTAGTGTGTCTGTAGGGTTTTATTCAAACTGATCTAAATCAGATCATTATTGACTGAACTGGACCAACGCAATTCCTTATTTCTGATGACTAGGCGCCCTGTTCCGAGCCTTTAGGCTGCTACGGCTCCCCATTCGAAGGAATAACCGATTTTCCGATAAATGACTTCAGTCCTGCAATTGTCTACACAACAGACGCAACGAAGCCCCACAAAATAAAACAGTAGACAAGAGATTAAATACAAGAAAATTCTATTTTTATTTAAACCACGTTTTAGAAATCTTCCTCAAACTTTAAGTGAGGTGCGGGAGTATCCCAAAATGTGCAAATGAAAGCAGAAGTAATTAATTCTACAGGACCGATCGCTTTTCTACTTTTCAGCCGAGCAAGCGGCGACATAAAAGCGGGACTTTATCTTCCATCCAACACCCACAACATCTGGGATAACCTGCGACGGAACAAGTAAAGGTTTATTCCCTGCTGAAAGGAGAAGAAAAACACAACGTTTCGGCTGTGGAGCCATCTTCGGTGATAGCGGGTTCTCTGGGATAACCTGCTGCACTGTCGACCAGTGTTGCACCCACCGCGGGAGAAGGGTGAGGGACCTTAATCTGCTTCCAGAGGGTTAATTTTAGATTATGATATTTTCAATGCTGATGTGAAGAACTACCAAGTAACGGTAAATCGGTCGATTCATTTCAATACCGAGTAACACTAACAGGAATTTAAGAACGTGCCGATAGTAAATTATTTCTAAACATAAAACCTCACTAGCCCACCCCCACTCTACTTCACTCTCTCCGTGCAATGGGTGAAAATCTGGATTTGTACCACCCTGTTTCTGAATCTTTCAGGTGCTTGCAGGCATTTGAAACGTTTTACAGTAAGTGCAAATGAATTCTGAAACGTCATAAACCACCACTATTCTGTTTTTCAGGAAATTAACATCTCGAAAAAACTGTAAAAACTCAAGTACCAGAGGAAAAAAAAAACGAACAGCTTATCTCACGTACAAAATTGAATATTTTATTATATTTAAAAACCTTAAAATCTCATGAGATTCTATCAGGTTTACTGCGAAGAGGACGTTGTTTTAAGGCTTACATTTTCTAAGAAAATTAAGTTTGGTCCACCGTTGTTTAATATAGATCAAAATGCTCACATTAAAGAGAAAGAAAGGGTGCGCTAAACAGACCTAAACTCATTAAAAAAGATCAATTTGAAAAACCTAACTATACACGAACACACACATACTGTATACACTTAAACAGATGCGTTTTTTGACAGATTGAAATAAAACAAGGTATGCATAATCGTGAGACCACAGCAAGAGAACAGTGTGTTAAAGTCCTTTCCGTGAGTGACCAGAGGTACTGCTTATCCTTGAAAGGTCAGAGTTAAATCTCATCATTGGAGCTCATTATTAATCACTGTACACTGTATTCCACGTGGGTGGGGTACTGTTAACATGTATGAGTACTGCCTTAGGAAGTAAAGGCAGGAAGTTCGTGATCTTCCAACTACGCAACAAAACAAATTACACGGTATTTTGTAATGAGTAACAATTAAGACAATGGGATTATTCAAGGAAATTAAAGGATGAACGAGAAAAGGACTGAATCATTCAAGCACTACCACGTTTTGAGTCATGGCACTCAGTAACACGGTGCTTTTCTCGCTAATTCGACTCTTACTTTTCAGCCACTCGTAACGTTCACACGAACTGCCGTGGGTTTAGAATTTCGTACGGCATTACAGTGCTAAGCAAACAGTATGATGTATTGTGTATTCAATTATCTGTAGGTCTATGCTCTGCTTTTTACTTGCAATAGGAGTCTCAAGCCCCGTTTCTATTATAAGGCTCTTCTATTTCATTGATTACATAATTGCAATATTTCTAAACAGGTTCAGATGTATTTTGGTGGTAACTGTACCTTTAATGGACCGCAAAGTTTGAGTAAGCAAATGCACACAAGAAAAAAACGTGTTTGAAAAGAGAATATGAAAAATGTAAAAAAATGCTATGGTTTCCAGAACTGATTTGTTGCATTTTTAATAATTAAAAAAAAATCCAAATCTGTTATTGTTTTAAAAAGGAGACAACAGAAAGAAGATAATTAGTTGTTTAACAGACTGTAAAGGTTGTCATGAACACCAAAAAACATTGCGTCCTCCAGGAACTGAGTTCAGAAGCCCCTGAATTCAGCTGCAATATATACACATCGGAGCCGTGGAGAGGGGAAATGTTATTAATAATATTTAATCCAAAACGTTTTATACAACAGCTTCAGCAGTTCTGCAATACTGTCCTCACTGTAGCACAGTCCTTTTTACAACTCTGCCTTCCTTATCAATCGCAAAATTATAATTCTTCGGATTGTCGAGGGCTTCTTCAATTTGCTGGTCTAAATTCTCTAACGTGATGAAGTTCTTTGCTTCCTCCTGTGTTAAAAGTAAAAAAAAACAGCACTTTAGTCAAAACAGTAAAAGCTATGATCTCTAAAATAATAAGACCAATGTTAGCCTTTGTATGTTTTATTAGTGATCACACCATTTCACTATTTGAGATTTTTTGCAGATACAGTAACAATTCTACAGTATTTTGTAGTAAAGCAACAAATTACAGTAGTCAAATATCCACAGAAGGGTTTAAAGCTCTTTTTCAGGCTGTGGTGTAAACCCCTGTGTTATTAATTATTTTACAAACAGAAAACCGAATGCTCATCTGAAGAACACAGAGGTGCTGTGCAGCAAAAAACCCCAAAGCAAACAGTAGAAAGAACCAGGTGCATATATGAACCTTAGTCCAGAACAGTTTATTCAGCAATGTTTAACGCTGGATTTGTACAAATTGCTGATTGTATTTATGGCCAGGGGGATCTATTTCTCTGACAATTATCATATTAAAAGGAGGCTTCCCTTTCTGTGGAAGGCCAGTGGTTAGGGACTACTTGTCTACATAAGATCTCTGCTTTGCCCAAAATGTCGGTCCTGATAAAGGCTCGCTTTGGTGAAAACATGCCAATATATCAACAGGTTAACTGTTAATAACTTGTCTCGAACTAGAGAAAGCGTGCGCCCGGTTTATTATTTTTTTTTTATACCTGTAGCTTTAGAACCTCCTGTTCTTTTTCTTTGACAAAAGTTTCCATTTGGTTCTCTCTTGAGATAGCTGCCTCGGCTCTCCTCAGTTCTTTCTGCTCCAGTTCCTTCTGGATCCGCGCCTCGCTGTTTCACATGAAAGGAAAAAAAAACAGTGACCAAGACCAGGACTACTCCCTGACAAGTATGGAAGTTGGTGAGACAGTCGTTTAAAGGAACCAAGCAATTAGTCCAACCAATAATCAATCTAATTATTTTCTCTGTAAACTGCCCCGGTGAAACAGCTGCACCCAGTGGGTGTCACCATTGCGCTGTTCATTCAGAGAGCTGCGTGCAAGGCAGGAATACTGCAGTACACGGGCTTCGGCGTTTTAACACCTATTTCCCCATTTTCGTCTTCTGCTCTAACCAAGACTGACTGATAAAAAAAAAACACACAGTGACTTTCGGCTACAGACATTTATCTAACAGGGACGAACATTTCAATCTAATGCTGTGGTTCACCACATGCCAAGAAATGCTGTAAAGCACTTTGAGAAGATTCTAAGGCGTGGGTATGAGAAAGAGCTGTGAACTTTGATTTGGCAGAACTAACCTCTCAGGGAGCATCACGTCTGCGTACTTAGTAAAAAAAAGTCCAATTGTGAGGGGCCTTTCTTTTGAGCCACATGGGCCCGTGCTACATGTTACAGACAGGTCACTTGTCACGCAATAACACGTCACTGTTCGCCGACAGGTGCCTGCCGTTACCGTAGTTTGCGCAATCTCTGGTTCTCGGCGTCATTCCAAGCCATGAGAGCCTGGTGCTCCTCAGCTTCCTGCTTGGCTCTTTCCTCTGCCAGGGTGCCCACCTCCTCCTGGTACCTCCGCCACAGCAACTCCTCCTTGAACTCTGCCCTGTGCCAACAAACAACACCCCCTCGTGAGTGCATGGCAGGCTACAAATACCCCACTGCTCCGTACAGTTTCCACCTTGCTGAAACACTTTGTCCATCACATATTGAGAAGATATCGAATCGGTGCCCCAGTTGGCAGGCTTTAACTTAAAAGAAAAACAGCATTTTCTCCAATAAGCATCTAAACAGCATTTTCTTTCAGTCTGATTCATTCCAACTCGCTGAGTGTCATTAACACTTCATGTTGCATTTTGTTTTGTTCCTTTATCAAAATGTAATACAATTTCTCTTGTACAATAAATAAAATTGATGACATCTGACTGTAAAGAGACAGTAATAACCAAACAAAAAAAAACAGGAGGAGGAACTGATTTACACTAAGGGTTGTGGGAGTCTGGAACAAGCTATCCATCAAAGCTGATGTCTTGGCTTCTTTCAGGAAATGGATGAGATCAAGCTCAAGAGAGTCAGACAGGCTGAAAGGCCTACTCTTGTTTGCAGTCTTCTTTATGTTTCTTTATAATCCGTAGTCTAGAAGGCACGTTTATCCAAAGAAACTCATAGTTGAAGGCAAGTTTCTCCAGCCTTGGTCCTGGAAAATCCCAATCCGACAGGTTTCAGAGGTAGCCTTTTAATCAGGTACTAAAAGCCTGAAGCAATTTTCATCTGTGATCAACTAAACAAGCCGTGGGTTCAATTAAATTTAGAGATGAGCTGGAACAAAAAGCAGAATTTCCTTCTGGTTCCCTTCTCTCCGACTTCTTGACTCACCATCCCTCAATAAACTAGTTACACACATGAAACCCACCACATCTATTTTAGATCCCATTCCCACCACTTTATTTCAGTCCTGTTTCTCTTCTCTCTGTCCCATTATCCTCAATATTGTAAATGATTCCTTGAGCACTGGCATTGTACCAACGATCCTCAAAACTGCTGCCATTACTCCTCTGCCAAAAAAGCCTATCATGGGCTCTCGAAAATCTAAACAATTTTCACCCCATCTCCAACTTACTGTCACATTTCAGTTACATAACCACCTCATGGCAAACAACCTCTTCGAACCCCTCCAATCTGGCTTCCGTCAACTTCACAGCACAGAAACTGCCCTGGTCAAAGTCACTAACGATCTTATAATAGCTTCTGATTCTGATTCTCTTTCTATATTCATTCTAAACGTGACAAGACTGAACTCATGCTTATTAGCACCCCCCATCAGCTTTGAAAAGCCAATCCTGTAACCATTTCTGTAGATGGTTCTGTACTTGAGCTTCATTCTAAATTGAAAAACCTTGGGGTGATATTTGATTCAGGCTTAACATTCGACCCACATTTGCAGCATATTGTCAAAACATCATTCACCTCAGAAATATTGCTCGACTACGCCCTATGTTATCACTAACTACGGCTGAAAAGCTGATCAACACATTTGTGTTACCCCAAAATTGACTACTGTAATGCTCTACTCTCTGGGGTATCTAAATCTACATTGAACAAACTGCAGTATATCCGAAATTTGGCAGCCAGAATCCTGACCAGTTCTAGTGCAAGTGATCACATTTCTCCTATCCTGGAGTCCTTGCACTGGCTTCCTGTCAAATTCTGTATGTACTTTAAAATTCTCACGCTATAAGGCTCTGCATGGCATGGCACCTCAGTACCTGTCTGAACTATTATCGCCCTACTCCCCTCCTCACAACCTTCGCTCTTCTAATTCTGGTGTCCTTACTGTCCCCCGAGCCCGTCTACACTCTGTGGGTGACAGGGCCTTCTCCTGTTATGCCCCACAAGCTCTGGAACTCTCTCCCCAAGGATATCAGAGAGTC